CCCCCCCCGACCAAAATCGAGTGTTTTTTTTTTTCCCTATTTTAAGTGTGCTCGCCCGTGGTTCCTATTCTATTTATATATATATATATGTATATGTATATATATATACATATATACTATAATATTATTATCGGTGCATTTTGATTGCGAATGTATCGGATTTTTCGTGGTTTTTTTTTTTGTTTCTTTTATGCCTAAGACATTACGTATGATAATAATCATTAGGTATGTATATTTTTCCGACGTGCCAAAACCGTTCGCAATTCGAAACGAATTACATACATGGGTACCTGAACGTTAAATATTATCGCGCGGCGTGTGCCGAACCCGGAAATCCGTACACGATGGGCGTGTTTTGACGGCACGACCGAACGCACGTTTCGACGACCAGCCGGAGGGGGGGGAGAGGAGGGGTTACCGCGGAATCGCAAACCGTTTTAAAAATTACGTTCAACGTCTCCGGTCCCCGTTGGTAAAACACAATGCGCGGCAAACCGTTAACCGGAAACCGCGTCGCCGAAACGCGTCTATTAACAATGCACGCCGCCGTAGTCGTTTCATTACGAACATATTTTTGTTTCTTTTTCGAAAATTGAAAACAGATACTCGCGCTGTTTTGTGTCCGCGGTTATATACAAAATCGTATCGCCGGCACGACCGGACACCTCTAGTGACTCCCTCCAAACCAAAACTAGTAGTTGTTGTTTTTTTCTTTTCTTTCCTATTACCGGATCGAAGAGAGCAAATTTCGGTTGAATTTCAATGCGAACGGAGGAGGAGAAGGAGGAAGAACAGGAGGACGGTGTTTTTATAGCTTTCGTACAATGTACACCCCTACAGGCCCCAAAATGAAGGAAACGTACGATGCACTTTTGTATATGCGCGCAGGCGTGTAGGTATCGAGGACGTGCCTTCTGGGCGGTTTCAACTGTCAACCCCCGAAACGCCATTTAAATACCCTTACTGGCTCACGAAAGTAAGTGAGTTGGTTAAAATGCGTACACGTGAAATGTTGTCGTGTATGCGCCGTTACAGAACGTTTGAACTTCCAACTCGAACTTTACCAGAATCATTATTGTAACGGCAGCAATAGTCGTCTGGGAGAAAATCGGACTCTAGTCACGGTGCTCTACTGCTCGTGTGTTTCCCCCCCCCCCGTCCCCCCGTTCCCCCGGTCCGGAAATCGGCTCGCGAAACGGCGCACGCGGCTTTCGTCGACGTAAATTTTGTTTTTCCGAATCAGGAACAAGGCGGTAGAGTAATAGCGATAATGTGTTCACTCTGGACGACACGGTTTCCGCGATATTTTCCCGGCTCGAATCGGGCTCCCCGTGCGTATTCTGTTGACGGGTGTTACGCGACGCGGAGAGATTTACAACGTACTTATCCGTGACGTTCGCACGACCGACCCAAACACCCCGGTATTGTAATACACACCGGCGGACCCGTGGACACGGTTTATTATTAGTTATTACTGTCGGTGCTCGAATCGGGGGGCGGGGGTGGGCAAACTCCTGATTTCGGTGTAAACAAAGCCGGCGTAAACGAAACAAACGTCGATAGAAGAGTATGGTCAATGACGTACCGATTCCATATACCGACTTATCAATTTGGTAAATAAATTTACCGATAATGTTTCAACTTGAAAAAATCGCGTACCCATAAGATACCGCAAAAAAAAAAAAAAAAAAAAAATGAATAATAATATAAATAATAAAAACTAAGAAATTATTAATTTTTCCGAATTTAGAATCGTTGAATTTCCGAGTTTTAGGGATGTTACGCGAAATTACTGGGGGGAAAAATAAAAAATTCCATTGTCACTTCCTGCGTAAAGTTTCCGTATACGGGTTCCCAGCTAAGACTCGTGGAAGAAAAAAAAAGCGTAAAGGCACTCTGCACGCCTCTTTCCCCAATTCGAGCGCCGTCTGATACAAATGTATGTTACCGGGTCTATGCGGTAATAACCGACGACGACCGCAATATCGCCTTTTGGTTTTCGGCGTAAACGTGCAATAATATTGTATCGTCTGTCTATGGATGTCTGCACGTCAATCTAGCCGAACAACTGCTAAAGATTAATTTCGATTTTAAAAACGATCGAATCGGGCGAATCTCGGGAGCCAATTGGATGTATCGATCGCCCATGTTCGGGATCACCTATAATGTAAACGCACGCTGTTTTGAATCGCATCGGTTTTTTTTTGGTAAATTACGTTTTAAATGTCCGCTTGAATTCAATTCGATTTATTTCCGTCAACACGTCAACCGCAGAAAAGTATAATATAGGCACGTATCCGATCAAGTCTTACGATAAAAAATTTTTCTTTCTTAGAAAAAAAAAAAAACAGAAAAGTTTTAGCCTGCTCCTCGTTTGATTGTTTTTCGTGTGCGCTAAGCGTATTTCACGGCCGGATAAAAAAGTCTGCGTACATAATATTATTAAGGTATCTGGTTACGCGTTCCCGGAGGCTCCGGGCGTTGTGTTTAACCACGACTCCGGCTACAATACCGTAGTTAATATACTTATAGTATACAGGGTGTTTTCGTCGCGAAATTTCCCCTCCCCCCTCCACCCGTTCTGGCGACAAATGTTTCTTTTTTTTTTTTTTAGGCGCGTTTTAATCGTGCAAAAGTACGAGAACGTTGCGCCGCCTAATAATTTTTGTCGAACGCGCGCGAAAACGTCCCGAGAAAAATCAATGTAATACAAGCCCCCTGGTTTCGGGGACGGAGGTCCCAAAAATACCGTCATCCGGACACTCGGGCGATCGCCACTGAATAATCCGGTTCACAATATTGCCGTTTTCTCGTTCGTTTCAGTACCCCGCCCCGTGTAATTATTGTACACGGTGTTCTATGCGTTACACAGTTATTATAACACATACGCGGGCGTGATGTCGCAACGTTGTGCATTACTATACAAATAATACTGTATTATAAATATCGTTTTCACGCGTGTACTACACGTTGTATAATACTAATAATATTCGAGCATTGTAATTTTCGGTTTTCATTCGGCACACGCATATTATAATTATCGATTATTAGACATTTATTACGATTAATTAATTTTTCATTACTCATTCGTTTATTTCGTATATAGTAATAATAATATGCGCCCACACGCGCGTGTCTTTGAGTGTACAATAAAAATGCGCGGACACTTATATTCGCGGTTGTTGTTAGGTGTGAATTATTGTATTATTAAATAGTCATTATTAATATTATTATTACTATTATTATTATTATTATTATTATATTATAATACCACCACTTACAAAGATTTGCTACGATTTAACATAATATTATTATTATTATTCATTATATTTATTACTGATCATTAATTATATTATTATTATTATTATTACTATTATGAATAAAATTATCTACACGTTGTTTGAATTGTCAGTTTCGCGTACCTACTTACCAACCTGCATGCCCATATAGGTACCCGTTCAAACGCTCGGCAAAGTCGATATTTTGATCGACTCAGTAGCGCCGAAGTCCCAAACACGTAGTCGGGTGAAATGCATGTTAAGGGGCTCAAATAACTAATCGCAGCCCATTTTATGTCCAAAACTGTGGTTAGCCTAGGTTTTTATATTTCTGTAATAAAACATTCATTCGGTTTGGCAACCAAACTTTGCACCAAAATGAAACGGCCCTATGCTAATTTTTTAAAAGAGTCGGGCAAGGCCTGACCTTAACATAGAGTTCAGCACCATTGGCGTCGACTGACTTTTTGAGGAAAAGTCATTTTTAAACAAGTGCTACTGTTAGTTTAGGATAAACCAGATCTCAGTTTCCTAAATGCCAATAATGTAACTGAAAAAAGGCCGCAAGTGAATACATATAAATCGTAGAAAAAGAAATATAAAAAAAGCTAAAAGATATTAATCGTTGCTAAAGAAAAAAAGATTCTGAGCGGAGTTTGGGTTGATATTGCAGTTGCTTTGTCAACAATATATATTATGTCATATTATGATAAAATAATTTTGGTTTAATATTATACCTATTTTTCCGTTTTTTAAATTTGTTGGGGAAAACTCCTGGGAAATTTAAAAAATGACATCCCTATAGTACCTCCCTAGTTAGAAACAATACTATCATTGTAAATTGGAGCTAAATTGCTGATAGAAAAGTTGTTGAAAAAAAAAAAATTATTGTAAAACCAATACATTCCTCACTCCAATCAGAATCTAAAAGTTTGATACATGGCCCCTGAATCTAAGGTCACCATCCGTCCCGATATATCAGGACTGTTGCCGTTATTGAATTTTCTGTCCCAGCAAAAGATACCAAAATGTCCCGATTGAAACTTTATTGTGTGACAGTGTATAATTTACCTATCTGTATATGTTAGTTTATGAAAATGTCTGCGGCAATAAAGAGAACGTGCTGTTTTTCAGATGTATATACTGAAGAGTGATTTAAAAAAAAAAAAACATATGAATGAAGAAACACTTTGTTCTTTATTGTTTTTTTATCAGTTACTCACAGAGGTAAAGTTGATACGTAACCTAAATAATTAAATATTTTATCTAAAATAAAGAATTATAATTTTCATCACAAAATTGAGCGTTTTTACACATCCTATCCTAGAATTCCTAGAACGTCCTGATGAGACCCTATAGCCATACATGGCAACCTTACCCCTAATTCAACATTTTCTTTTTCTTTTTAGTGTTAAGTAAACTGAGCAGTGTTCACATTTGCTCGCAGATTTCAATAAAAACTATTAAATGTTAAAAGTTATGTATTAAAAAGTTATACTAATTTGTAGGTTATTTTTTATTTAGTTGTACGCTGTTAGAATAAATTTTTTTGTATTGTTGTGTAATTCAAGAAATTACAATTTGAAAACAAAAAGCACAATTTAAATTTCAAAACTTTTATAGTCTGGGTCATCTCAACATAACATAACATAACTCATATATATATGTATAAATATAATATATATTTTAATAAAAATCAACACTTTTTGTACAAATCTATTATATTTTCATTAACAAAAATGATCAAAGACAACACAATACATTTTTAACAGTGACAAAAAACATGATGAAAAAATGTCCATAATGGCAAGAAACAATAACCATGTTTTACAACACATTAACAGAAATATATATAACAAATTTTTTTTATATATAATTTAACTTTTAAAATAATTAATATTTTCGTATTTTAATAGAATTTTAAACAATATAAAAAAATACATACTGCTGAATAAATATGTAATTACTCATAATATATTTTTTATAAATCCATTCCGCACGTTTGGTCCCCATAATTTAAATAATTTACAACTCGTCAGTAATTGTACATTTAAGCTTTATAAGTACTAGCCGACACATCACCACCAGTACCGGTCCAGTTTGTATGAACGTATTTTCCAGGCGCAGTCAACAACTCGTACGTATGAGCACCAAAATAGTCACGTTGCGCCTAGTCAAACAAAAATCAACATTTTTTACAAAAACACCAATCACAAAATACAGAAAGAATTTACCTGTAATAGATTGGCTGGAAGTCTAGCACTTCTATAACTGTCGTAAAACGCCAAGGCTGTGCTGAAAGCTGGAGTAGGTATTCCTAACATAGCACTAGAGGCTACCACTTTACGCCAACCAACTTGACTGTCATGTACGGCGTCTTTAAAGAATGGATCGAGCAGTAAGTTCTTTAAATTTGCATCACGTTCAAACGCTTGTTTAATTTTCCCCAAAAATGCGCTAAAATATTATCATTTCTGTGTTATTGTACAGTAATATTATATTATCTAATATAGATACTATATCAATATGTCTATATTATTTATTATAGATATTATAATATCAATAGTATATAAAAATAAAAAACACATCACTACCTTCTAATAATACATCCTCCGCGCCACATAAGTGCGATTCCTCCGTAATTCAAGTTCCATCCATGTAATTTAGCAGCTTCACGCATCAACATGAACCCTTGAGCATATGACACAATTTTTGATGCGTACAATGCCTGACAAAAAATACAATAAATTAATATTTTTTAACTACTAAATATTGGTTACTTATCTAATAAGTAATTTTTATATTATCAAATTACCTTTCCAATATCTTTAAGGAAAGATTGTTTATCTCCACTGAACTTTTCTGTTGGTCCTTGAAGTACTTTACTAGCTTCCCCCCTCTCGTTAATTAAAGATGACAAGCACCGAGCGAACACAGATTCTCCAATAAGCGTAACAGGTACACCATAATCCAATGCAGAAATAGCAGTCCACTTTCCTGTACCTTTTTGGCCAGCTGAATCGCGAATTTTTTCCACTAAATATTCGTCTTGGTCGTCTTTATACTGCAATATGTTTCTAGTAATCTCAATCAAAAAAGAATCCAATTCACCCTTGTTCCATTCCTCAAAAGATAAACTCATCTCTTTGTTGTTCAAGTTTAAAGCAGATTTCATCAAATGGTATGCTTCACAGATAAGTTGCATGTCTCCGTACTCAATACCGTTGTGAACCATTTTAACAAAATGACCAGCACCATCTTCACCGACCCAATCACAGCAAGATTCACCATCGACTTTAGCAGCAATGCTCTGAAAATTAATTTTATAAATTATACATTTATAATCTAAGAATTATTTACAATAATATAAGAATCCAAGTGAAAGTAGTTCTATTATTATATCAATTACATAAATAATTGCCTTAGGCATTGTATAAGATATAATAATAAAATGACACATCCAAGAGTAACCCTGTACCTAATCTAATAGTTAGTACTATAATATAATTATTATTAATAAAATGAATTATGATATAGCATGACTAAAAATTTTAACATTAATTTTTATTGCCTTTTTTTTTTTTTATTTAAACTGAACAATAACAAGGCCAGATTTAACAAAGAATAAGAACAACTTCTCTAACCTTCAAACGATTAAAGTCTTAAGCTACTGGAAAATATTAATATATTTATTTATTTATAAATAAACACAAACTAAGCCTATCAGAAAACATTAATTATATAGTACACACTATACAATAAAATATTTTATAATTTAAAACTAAAATAATTGTATTAGAAATTGAAGTTTATAACTAATTAAACTAAGTGGTAAAAATGGAATGGGGGTCCATCGAAACAACACATTTTAAGAAGGTACCAAGAACCATACAAAATGAGGAAAAAGAACAAGATGTAAATAGAAAATCATTTTAGATTAATGAACAAAGATTTCACCACACAATAAACTTTTAATAAAATTGATAAATTAAAAATTAACAATAAATAAAACATCCCTTCAGTCATCGGTTTAAGTAAATTTATGTGCTAAAATAAATAGTTGTAAATTGTACTTTCACACTAATCAGAAACAGTTTAACATAACGTTAAAATATAAAAAAATGATTAGTATACATTTTTTGGATGTGCATTATACGTTAAGTATCAAATTGGTCACAAATATACATTGATCATGAGTTAAATTTTATTTGTAATTGAGTATATATTATTAGTCATAAATAAAATAATCATAAGAAGTTGATGGCTGCAATCTAAATATTTATTTAATTATATTAAATTAATTACAGATAAAAATTCATTACAATACAATAATAATTACAATGCTAATAATACAAGTTAAAATTTATAAATATTATTATTTACAAACTAATTGATAAATAAAGTAATGATTGTTATGATTTTATGAGCAATATCAGATAACTATTATTATTATGTCAAATTATAGTCAATGAAACTTAAGCCTGTTCTTGCAATGTCCGGTTAGAGATAACCGGCAGTTAAATTTGCCAAAAACTGATAAACTTCTGTTGGTTAACTCACAATTATTATTAATGAACACTTTACAGGACATTATCAGAACCAGGCTTAATGTAAATTTGTGTACCTATTCTTTCTTTCTGTACTATTTTGTTTATTTTGAGATTGTGGCCCTGTCAAGATTTTAACAATTTTTTAATAAATTTAGTTTTCCTCTTTTTGTACCATTTCAATGTTGTAAAATGTTAAATATTTGGATAAAAAAAAAAAAATTAACATTTAATTAAAACCATTATAATGTCATCCTACAACAGAATTATTTGGTTTCAAACAAATTATATATTGCTATAACTTGAAACAGTTCCCGGAAATTTCAAAAAATCTTGAGACTTTTTTAATTATTTTCCAATCAGACTTCTTTTTCAATATTTCTTTTGAAAAACTTTATTACATTTCAGAATAAAGTTTGTTTAATTTTATGATAAAATGGAATAACACTGAGCTTTTTAAACTAACTCACAACATAATCTTTTGGAACCAAAGATAAAACATATAATTTGCAAATATTAAAAAAAAATTTAGGATTTTACCTACATTTCATAGATAAACCACATTTTTGTATACTTCTTTAAGTAAAATAACCCTTACCCGAAATTTTCTAGGAAATTCTTTTTTTAAAGATTCTTTTTGCTCAGATTTCAAAATTCAACATTATTGAAACTTGAAACATGTTAGAAATCATGTCTTAATGTCTTGTACCATTCAAATATAGGTGTTTTTTTTATATATACAATAATATAAATAAAGGTAAAACATTATTTTATATTGCATAGCTGTACAATTATAACTATAACTAATTTGTTTTGCGTAAATAGATTTATATAGATAATATAAAATGACTATGACCAAATTTTCAGGAACCAATAGACTGCAATAGATACCAAATTTATTAAAATTATTGAAAGATTTAAATACTTTAAAGTTTTTAGGTACCATACTATATACTAGACTGCATAAACCTGAGTTGGGGTCAAATACAAAAATGTTAATTTGAAAAGTACTTACTTGGAAAATGTTCTTAATAAATGGCCATGCTTTTGGATTTCCTCCGGGCATCAATGATGGACCATATCTTGCTCCTTCTTCACCTCCAGATACACCTGAACCGACAAACAACAAGCCTTTTTGGGCAAGTGATTTAGTCCGGCGTTGGGTATCTTGGTATTCAGAGTTACCACCATCAATAATAATATCACCTTCCTCCAACAAAGGTTCGAGTTGGGTGATAAAGTCATCAACAGCACTTCCAGCTAAAAAATTTCAATAACTGTATCAAATTACATTTTTTTTTTTTTTTTTAAAACATTATTTTGAATGTTTTAAATTTATGCTAAATTTTAAATAATATTAAGAGTATAAATATCACAAATCACAATATTTAATTTATTAAAATAATTATGATACTAAGTAAAAAATATCTTGATATCTACACAATTTAAGTTTAATATATTTAGTGTTTAACACAAAATATACAAACAAATAATTGAATAAACATCTTTTGAAGATAATAATATGGTTATAATATATCTCAACAATTTTTGAAATTATCAAGAGACTTTAAACTGGAGGATTAAACTTTTTAAAATAAGGGTAGGTACTATTTCTTTTTGAAGAATTTCACATTGAAAAAAACATATATTCCACTAATTAAATCTGTTTTATCAAAAAGTAAAAAAAAATGCAATTTTTTAAAAAAAAAATGAGGCAATAAATAATATTTTAAATGTTATCAGTTGGTGACAATGTGTATCACGCCACTTAGATTGGTACCATTGTTTTTGTAAACTGCGTTTAGATAACACTTTATCAGGAACACGTTTTTGTGCACGAAAATTTAAACTTATTTATCTGTTCATTTTTATCAAATAATTCAACCTGAACGGTTTGTATTATATTTTATCCAATTAAAACGTAAAATTTAATTTTTGTTTTTATATCCTATACACCGTAATAGAATGCATCAGTTGTGTGAACTTGAATCGGACGCCGCCCAATATGCATCGATAGAACAAAGTGTCGAGATACCTAAACACACTCCACCATCGGTCATTCAACGTTACTATGATTCTAGGTATGCCACAAACGTCAACAACAAACCTAATCAAGACTACAGCGTACTCATCCATTCCAATAATCTGTGTATTTTGTCACTGGCACCTACACACGAGTTGATCGGAAAAACTATTGACAAAATAGATTTTCAAGTATCGGGGAACACCGATCGATTGAGTAACATAATGACAGGTAAAGGAAAACGAGGAGCTCAAATTGTACAAGAGGGGTCCACTCTGTGCAAAGTCCATTGTACTGACGGAGAAGAGTACAAAATACTGTCACCGATTCCAGGTAAGTTGGTGGAAATGAACAGCAAACTGGCAGAAACACCGAATATCATGTTGACCAAACCGAATGGTCTCGGATTCATAGCAATTATCTTACCGCAGAAACAAAGATTTAAAAAAATCAGAGATGGGCTGAAAACAAATGAACAATACAAAAGTCTATCTCATAGTAAATGACTGAAACACTGTAAAATTAATTTTTTTATTATAATTATTATTATTTTTACTGTGTAAGTAGATTTTAAATATAAAATTGTAATAACCACCACAAACGAGTGATAATTTTTTCAAACTAAAATAATTCTTGACAATAATCAAGTTCAACAGATGAATTGTTATCATTTGAATGACTACACACATTAAAAAATTGCCAAATGTATGTATGTCTTTGTTTGACACCCAGTAATTAGACACTTATGATAAAATTGTTTTTAAAAACACTCAATTTAGTCGGAAACACATACACACTCAATTACACGCATATTGAAAATAATAATGATTGTGTTTCAAGTTAAAATATATCATAAAAGTATAAGCAGCTATATTACTAAGAAACTATTCATAAATTTAGTATGTATATATATAAATATATTATATACATGTATGATGCATTGAAATTTTTAGAGTATCTATTATAAAATAACTATTTTGAAAATAAACAAAATAGTTTTTTTTTTTTTTTCTTTATATGAATAGATACAATAATTGTAATTAGTCTCTATACAATGTGTTCCCCTGACATAAAATCCATTAAAAAAAAATAGATTATGAACAAAGGTCAAAGATATCAATAATTAGCATCAGGAAAACACGGTGGGGACAACAATTTTATGATTTTCTGTAATACGGAATTTACCTTTGACGAGCATCATGACGCGGCGGGGTTTTTTCAAAGAGTCTACCAGCTCCTCGAGAGAATGAGCGCCGACGATGTTTGTGCCTTTGGCGCCTTTGCTCAGGAACTCGTCTACCTTCTGGACGGTCCTATTGTAGGCGGTGACGACGAAACCGTGATCGTTCATGTTCAAGATCAGATTTTGGCCCATGACGGCCAGGCCGATGAGTCCGATGTCTGATCTGCGAGACATGTCGGCGATCAGTTTGGTTACGCGAAATGTCATTGTAATATTATCATTTACAATAACAATAATACGGTACGACAACAAAATTATATAATAACGGTGCGATTTATCAGACGCACAGCAGCACGGGCACGTGCATCACCCGATGGCTGATAAGAACGCCTCGGACATGGGGCATTACGATTTACGAACAACAATATTACTGTGGCAGCTCGAATGCAACGGGCATAATAGTCACGGGGCCGACTTTAAGGCGCGCGGATCCCCGGCGCTTCCAGAGGCCCCGCGTCTATTCGCCGCCGTGGCTAAATAGGGCCTACGTTATGCGCACGGCCATTTGGGAAAACACGAATCAGACAAAATAAACGAACTGTGAATAATAATCGTACAGTAATCTACCCAATTATCTGCGTTCGGTGTGTATCGGGAAATATGATAAAGCCGAGAAAAATAAATATAACAAAAACGGACGGTTACCGAGGTCCCGCGAAAATCACCGCCCCGACATTTTCCAAATCGGCGGGGCCCCGACTGGGTAGGTACTCACTTTCCGCTCATGGTGTGTGTGTGCGTGTGTGTGTGTCTGTCCGTACGCGTGTCGTTGCGAGAGTGACGTGAGTCGTGACTGGAGCGCGTTCACTGTGCGAATGGCCCGGGTGACGGCGGCGTTCTCACGTTAGTGCCCCGCAGAGGTGATATTATCGGTGCGGTGGCATAACGCGGGGAGCGCGCGAGCGAACGAAACGGATCAAGGTCCTGCCCGGAATACTGGCGGCGCGAAGGTCGAAACAACGCAACGCTGGCCGACCGGTGTCGGGCCTAGTCGCCGTCGTCGCCGTCCGGACGCAAGGGTATGACCTCCGCAACGCGGCTACGTAAAGTTGTCGGCGACGGTACGGGTATTGTGCCGGCCGCAGAGCAATATTTATGTGCACGCGGGTTCATTATTGTTATTTGAAGATTATATTTCGTTCGGCGTAATGTACCGGTGTATTAGTGTAAGGTCAGCGGTTCTCGGCCCGCTCTACGACGACCGGCTATTATTTCGTCGAACGGCTCGGATTCCGGTGGCACAACGGGCCATTATCGCGCCGTTTAACGAGATTTCGCCGCAAACAGACAAAAAAACCGATACGCAGGTACGCGCGCGCGTTAACGACAAATTAATGATAAACGGCGAACGGCCGTAGGCCCGCGCGGAACACCAAGGCGAGTATAATAATACGTTGGGGGGGGGAGGGTGGAAAACAAATTCGATAACCTTAGCGCGCGCGCAAAGAGACTGTGCGGTTGTTGCAGTAGGCCAAACGAGCGAAAGTAAAAGTATTATAATTATTGTCAATATTGCCGGTCGCTTTGTTGTGTACGCGAACAATGCGGCGAAAACCGCGCGCGCGCGTCTTTGCCCGTGCGATAAAATCAAATACCCAACCCGGGTAATTAATTACGTCGCGTAGGTACCGCGGTTGAAACCCGAGTGAAACGCTCGTTATCAACGGCCGCAAAACGCGCTGTACAAGTTCGCAATAAATTTGAACGCGGTCGTTAGGGGCGGCAAAAACATTGTAATTACATTTTCATCGATCGGTTATTTTTTTTTTTTTTTTTTTTTTTTTTTCCCCATTACTTATTGTTACCGCGCGGTAAAACCCGGCGGGCGAACGTCGCTGCGAGTTCCCGCGTAGCCCGGTCCCGAAAATCCGGAAACGTTTATGCGAGGGTTTTATTTTTCGTCTGTCGCGGGTACATTCGTCGTGAAAACGCGACGGGAACGAGATTTTCGCACCGCCATACTTTTCGGGTCGTCCCGGGGAAGAGGGAGGGGCTGCCCCAACTTCGCGGCGTAGAAACAAACAATAGTCGTTCAAATGTCCACCGAAAAACATTGCGACACGAAACAATTCTTTGTTTCCGTCACGTACCCGCAGCGGTGACAAGCCGAATCGGCTATACTTGCTGGGTATTGAAGTCGCTAATATGGCCGCCAGACGGATATCCGCGAAAGACACGCGCCCGCCGTCCACGCGACTCTTTTCACGCGAGCGCGCGTCGTTTTCGCGTCGACACCGCGGACGCGACTGCGTTCCGGGCCCGACCGGACGTGTGCTGTGCGTGAATTAAACGATGCCTGTAATTAAAAATAAATAAAAAAAAAAATCAATCGCTATTATATTGTTCGTCCGTAATGATGTCACGTAGTCGTCATAGATCGGTTGATCGAGTAGGCGTTTTCTACGCGTGTTTACGCCGCAGCGCGTACCTTTTCGCGGCAATCGAAAAAAAAAAATAACGTTGGGCGCCTAATGTAATTTATTTTCCGATTCGCGGTGACGCAGTTTCGAACCGAATAGAGGTTATTTGAGGTCGGCTCGATTTCGTTTGGACTTCGACCGTTTTCGCGAGCTCGTTAAACGACGTCATAATAAATTATTACACCATGCCCAGAAAATCGGTGTGATACGGCAGGAACGGTCGCGTAATATAGATAATTATTGATACGATTGTCTCGGACGAGTAACGAATCGCGCGACGGGTGGGCCACTGTTGTGGGTGAGGAGTCATCGGACGTAGACCGTCCAAAAACCGTCGTTAACGAAAAACGATCGGGAGCAACGTCTCTTTTCGTACACAATATGTACGCACGTTTTCCCGGCTGTTGGCCGATTATTACGAAAACCCCGTTCGGAAAACCAAAAAATGAACCCGCTACAAAGCACCACCCTGTAAATAAATTTTCCATTCGGATAAGTTGCTACGCCCGACACATCGGAGCGAGATATCTGGTTGAAAAATTGCCCACGGATAAAAAGAAAAAAATAGGTAATAAACATCGTTGTAAAACCGACACCGATACTCGTTACGCTCCGATTCTAAAAGGTACGAATTTTTCACGTGGAACGGAAACTATTATTATTACCTGCGCCACCGCGATAACCTATTTTATCGTGTGCGCCACGTAAATTTCGTGAATTACCTGTAATAACTGCGCAGTAAGTCATAGGCGGTTTTGTATTACCCGTATTGGTCGTGTACAGGACGATAATATATAATCGAACGGCCTTTTTTCCGACTACAGTTACGTTTTTTTACGTCTATACGGCAAACGCAGTTACGGCGGTAACGGCGTCCCCCGGAGGGATGGCTAAGGGGCCCGAAACGAATAATATACTTGAAACTGTTCAACGTTGAAAACGTATTAGGTGTCCACCGACCTGCTTAAAACACAATGTATATTATTACGATTGAACGTTTCGGGTAGGAGAAAAGTGAGGGGGATATAATGTTACATTTCAACCTCCGCGACCTTTTTCGATATTTACGTTCATACAACACGGTATATTATATATTACGTACATATTTATTTATAGGAAAAAAAAAATGAATAACGCAGATAATATAATAACAATTGTTAAAAAATCAGCCTCGCCTCAACCTCCCATGATAGAACCATTTGACCGTCACCGGTGTATTTACACTAAAGGTAGGTACCTCTATCTATTTACTATTGAATTATACGACGTTTTCAGCCAAGTACAAATAATACCGGACAGTAACTTAAACACGTACCCACGCATCATTGTATAGATACAATATAGTATCCATCCCTAACCGAACACGATCGTTATGCATTTTACCAAACATTATTTTCTTTAGTCTAATTTTTTAAATTTATCTCCCACCACCAATGTAATATCCTGGGTTCCAACGCCCTACCTCATACACAGTATACTACTAGCAAAGCGAGGAATTTGTTTGTTTTACGATGATATTGTGTGTGTGTGTGTGTGTTTTTTCTTTTTCTGTAGTATTATGATCACTGCAGTGAATCGGAATAATAATAGCCGAGTGACTTTACGATTATACTATTCGAATTTGAACTTTAAATGCATATAAAAAATTACGGACATATTTCGCAAGATGGGTGAGTCACTGTTGTTAATGAAAATTTGGGAAGGTAAGATATATAGAGGGGATATATATATAGAGGGGAGTTTAATGTATTTTTGTATGTAACGATTAAATATTGCTAACGAAAAACAATTCTGAGCGGCGTTCGGTCTTACATGTTGTGACTGCCTTGGAAAGCTGTTTCCCGCTTTGCGGTAACATCGCATTTGCGATTCCCGCCAAAATTTGATACTAGAATACTTACAAAAATTTCTACATTACACTCAATTTTTTTTTTCACCACAAAGTACGTCTTATAATAGGCCTCCTGTTAAATTTTTAAGCATTTCTGCCTGGTCTAACCAATTTATCCACAGAGTACCTACACCCAATAAATATTACGCAGAAAACTCGCAAAATTAAAATATATGTAAATAGCTCAAAAGTGGCTCAAATGATTTGAAAATTATACTACGTCTATGAAAAGCAAATATAATGTTTCCGTTCAAATTTTAAGTCTTTACAAACATTTTTAACTGAATTACAACAAAAAATCAAAATTAAAAATAATAAAAGCATTATTTTCGTAAAATTTCCCGGTTTTCCTAAGTTTATTCCCATTTATTATGATAACCGCTTGAAAAATCAAAAAATAATCTCCTTAATGTACCACCTTGTAGATAAAATTTATTTTCAGAAAAGGTGCTACACTTGAAAATCGGATCAAAATGTGTGGTAAAAAATGTTGTTCACAGAAAAAAAATAAAAAAATAATCATCATCGTAAAACCAATACATTTCTCGCTCCGTTCAGAATCTAAAAGTACAAAGAGCATCAAAAATAATGCTCTGTCGAGTAACCTGCACAATATCTTCAATCGTGATGTTTACCGATTAGTTTTTTCGATAACGATTTAAATTAGGTTAAAACTCCAAATCAGACCTTTGATACATTTAGATGTTATACAAAATGTGAATATGTTAATTTATAGGGGAGTCACAATGAATCCGCAAAAGGGATAGTTACATACTTTACCTCCCCTCCCCGTAGTACAGCCTGTGTTAGTAACTGAACTAGTGAACGAGTGTAGTACCGCGGTTTTCAAAATGTTCAAAAAAATATCAAAATTGTTATGTTTTCATATGAAAAAAAAATAAATACTAAATACTCTAAAGACTATTTTGTATTTCATATCTATTTTATAACATTTGACCAACCATAATGTGTGTAAAGAAAATTGTCATGGTGCTCCGTGGCTAACACTACTTAATTAACTGGGGCGCATATGAGCTACGTTGAAAATAGGATATTTTTTCTTAGGACGCTCTCGGGTAACCCCGTGAAATTGTATAACTTATAATGAACTTTGTGTAAAATTGTGAAGCATATCAGTTCAGCCAAAAGAGTTTTTCCCCTCACAAAACTAAATAAAAACTAAAATAAATTCAAACTTGAGACGCTTAAAAAAATAAAACTACTGCATTAATAATCACTTACACAAAAACTGCAGAAGAATAATATTGAATATTCGTGTAAAGAAAATTGTATTGAAATTATTGTAAGTTTATTAGGTAATAGTTTTAACACTCTTAAGTACCTATTTGTTAATTTTATTTGTATAGGTAATAGGTATTATCTATACTCATTGCCCTCTTGGGGTGTTAAATAGAAAAAAATAAATATATTTATGGTAAATAAATACTATTTGTTATTTGCATAGCAACTGATAACCGTATTTAAAAAAAAAAAAATTGTTTATACTATGATTATTTATTATTTTTATCTTTGAACAACTTTTCTACTAGAAATCTTGCTCCGATTTTCAAATGTAGTACATTTTTAAAGGACATTTTATATTCTATTTTATATATATATATATATATTATTTTAGGTCATTTTTTGATTTTCGAAGAAGTTTTCATAATAATTGTGGAAAACGGGAAAATGTACGTACATGTAGTCAAATTAAAAATACCTTCATTTCGAATCGTTTTTCGTTAGCAATGGTTTATTGCTGCGTACGGATATAAATTAAACTCCCCTACGTCTACTTTCCCAACTTTTCACCTACAACAGTGGCTCACCTATCGTGCGAAGTATTTCAGTCTTTTTATTTTTATATTCTGTAAACAACTTTTCTCCCAGAAATCTTTACCCGATCATCAACTTCAAAGACTGTTTCTGGTAGTAAATGTTGTCCAGTTGTTGCATTGAGGGTTATTATCTTTTTCCTCGTGGCTTTCTTAATAATTGGGAAAAGCGGGAAAATCTACGCTACAACCGTTTCTATTGTTTTTGTTGTTGCATAAATCAATTAAAAATAATCGTAACGACCTGAGATTTCCATTAGACGCTGAATATTCTTCCTAGACATGGTAAAATTGTCAACAAATTCTAGAAATTTTTGATCTATTATCCATAGGGATTTGAAACTGTCAGATTTCAATTCGATTTAACGATGGTACAATTTGTTTGGGTTCTTAAAAAATGTTTAAAAATTTGATTCAATGTTGATTTTAAGTTTTATGATGGCATTATAAACAAATCGAAAATCCAAATGTACGTTGGTTTTATGGTAAAAAACACTTTTAACCGATTTTCGCTCAGAATCGTTTATGTTAGCATTGACTTTCCAAGTCTCCCAAAGTCCCAAACAATATAACATCAATATAATCATAACGTAACCGATTGTTCATTAATTAATGTTTTTATCTTGAAAATATGAACAACCGTGAAATTCGTGCGATTTTTGATTTAAAAATACCTACTTTGTAATCGCTGTATCGCCCAATATAGAGAGAGAGAACTGCGATGTAGGTAACCGACATGCTGCAGTTTACAGGCGCACGTCCATGCGCGGTCACGTTGTTGAAAAAAAAAAAAAAATTTAAAAAATACTTATCCGTGCAACTAAAAGTGTCCGTTTGATATTATTCTAATCGGAAACCCCCATCGGCGATCGAAATTAGAATAAATTACGACCGTTCAAAGTATCAATAGGTAACCGCGAAATTCTCGTTTATGCGGCGTCACAGAACCAGATCCGGAATCGGAGGTACAATACTACAATCAAAAAAAATAGGTAGGTATTATACATACCTATATACTATAGCAACTAGTATATTAAACACCCTCTAACAGCGGTTCCCAACTTTGTTTGTTTTACGTCCCCCTTGTGGATTTTCAAAAATCTCACGCAACCCCTCCCCTTAAATTGCATTGGGCTATTAGAGTTTAGACGACTTTTTTTCTTTTTTATTTTTATTGATGAGCCATACTGCAAATAAATTTTACAAAATAACTAATATATATTATGGAGTCCTATTACTGATAATAGGTTCTCCAATCAAGCTAATCAAATCCACTTTTGTTTTCTCTACGTCTATTGTGCTTATTGTGAACATTTTTATACAGAATGTACAAATAAAATAAATATGATAAAAAAAAAAAAAACTACATATAATATGCGTCATTATGGGCACAACTAAAATTAAATTCATTGTTTTCAATTTTACTGATTGTAAAATGGCATAATTATTTTAACGAAAAAATTTTCTTTTTATTTCATCATCACTATCTTCGGCCCCCCGTGCTGTCTCTAAATTCCCCTCCCCCCTCCCTCCCGGTTGGGTACCACTGGCCCATAATAACACGACGCGCAATATTACTCGTACCCGCGTAATAATATTTGTCACCGACGTGTACGATATTTTTTTGGTAATATTTACGGTCGCTTTGCGACGATTTCCTTCGTAGACAAACAAAAACTCGTCGACTCAGCAGCGTAAAAATAATTTCGTCGGATAATATTCCAATATTGCGCTAACCTGTACCTGTTGTAGCAGACACGAAATTCGTGACGGCAATGATTATCGCGGTGAATGGCAATGGGGAGTCACCGGTTAACCCACACGCGCGACGATTCGATTTAAATCACGAACTTGACGGACAAACGTGCAGCAGGCGATCGGCGCTGAAACCTCCTATCCTCGGTTCGCTGGAAAACATTTTTTTTTTTCTCACCGATTTTTCGTTTGTCAAAAAAAACGGTTGACGTAAAAAACGATAATAGCGTGCCTGCGTATTATTTTTTTTCCATCGCTGTTCATACAGGTAGTATATTATTATACTGCAGCGAACGAGTGCGGTCACCTTTTTTTTTTTTTACAATGTACGTGTATACAGACAAAATCATCAATGTGTAGCGAAGTGGGTACATGGGTAACGTCCTCCTTGAAGCTTTCGAAAAAAAAAATTGTCTGTTTTCTAGGTACCTAAATAATATTTCTAGTGTAGTCTCTCAGCCTTTGCAAAAAATATTGAAGATCGCAGCTAGTAGCATTTTTTTTTTTTCAGTACAAAACTAAAATTTTACCATGCAGATAGTTACAATTTATCGGCATCTCCCAATTATAGCCAATAGGCATCGTTGAGAAAGAACAAAAGCATTCGGTACGTAAATATATATATTTTGATTTTTTTAAATTGCAAAGAAAAAAAATCGGATTAAAAAAATGTACCTACATTTAAAAAAACATTTTCTAGTGGCCTGAACACATTTATGTAACGAAAAACTTATTTCTGACATATTCCAGTGTGCATTGCTTCTTGGAACGGATATAAAATACCGCGTCGAGTTTCACAAACGTATTATTCGAGTTAATAAATTAACTATTTATGCCTGAAAATTGTAATTTTCAAAATTCATTTGAAAAGAAATGAAGCTTATTTACATAAATGTTGTCTTCTTAATGAAAGTATTGGTTAGATTTAGTTATATTCCGGTGTCATTATTACTGTATTTATATCTGCAAATAATTAATAATGCGTTGACATAGCGAAAAATTATAAACCTGTTTGCATTGAAAAATAATAAATTCTAAAATGTATGTATGGAAACAAGTCATGTTTATTGTTTCTGTCTGTGTTAATATAAATTGACATGCTTATGTTGAATTATTTTTTTGAAATACAAAAATTATTAGACAAACATTTTTTTACATAGGATACAACAATTAATTTATGACACTTCTATAAAAGCAAAGCAGCTTATAATAGTTAATATAATGAATATTAATAGTTAATTGTTTGTTTCCACTAATTATTGAAAAATACAATTTACAAAATAAAGTGCTTAATAGTAATTTTAAATTTAAAAATAGAAATATAATACATTTTGCATATATATATTTATATATATATATAAAAGAAAGTCAAAAATATCATTATAATATTATATGTTTACAATATTAACTTCACATACAGTAACAGTATTTAATAAAAGTACAACAATTAAACTTATATGTAATACCCAATCAAACAAAATATATTATTAAATGTAGATTATGTACTAAATGTGTTATATTTAAATATTTCAAACTTTAAAAAAAACTCTCAGTAAATATTATAATAATATTACTTTAATTATAATACGGGGTCAATATGGTAAGTTTTTGATTTATTTGCAAGTTTAACAAAAAAATAAAAACATTTAACAAACAACTGACCACAAATTATTAGCAAAAAAATAAATAAAAACAAAACAATTGAAATTATTAAATTAGGTAACTAAATTGGAATTAACAATCCAACAAAATCAAATCAATAAAATTGGCTACCAATTATCAAAAAGGACCAACAGAAAAAAAAAATCAAGTAGCCAATAATACACTTTTAATAAAGTGTTCGCATAATTTATGGTTCAGCCATTAACCATTTGTTTTTAGTCTGATTGGTATCAGTTATAAAATGTACATTGGCATAATCATGGTTATCTTTATTTTCAGTGTCAATTGATACTAGTTGCAAACTATCAGTAGGCTGATAAAATGCAGATGCTGACTCTATGTCAATAACAACCTCGGCTGATGAAGGCTTAAAAATATCACCGTCTGTATTAATGGGAGCTACATAGCTCACTCTTTGGTCAGTGACCAAGTCAGACATATTGTTTACATCGAACCCACCAATATGTATGTACTGACGATCACACTCGTTTTTAATCACCTGTGTAAATGTATACTTCTCTTCTTCTATTTCATCTGTATTAATATTTAACTGATCTTCTTCAGTGTCTGGTAAAACTTCCGGCATAAAAATACCATTACTTGGTCCAGGACAATTATTTGTTTCTTCATCATTTTTGGGGGAAATAATTACTTTACGAGTAACACTTAAGTCAGGAGTTTCAAAAGTATTTTTGATTGACAATGATTTCTAAACAAAATAAATAAAAGTATAATTTTTAAAAAATGTCAAGTTAAATAAAATGTTTATAATTAGTTTTGGAAATTTAAAAATAATATAATTTTTCATTAACTTACTTTATTAGGATGATGAGTAGCACATAACATTCCATTACCAAGTGGATCATTAAATATGTTCCCCTTAACATGTACAGAGCAAAATGATTCCACACAAAATTTACATTTAGCTACTACCTTTCGTTTGTTGCACTCAGAACAAAAATGAGAAGGGCAAATAAATCCAGCTAAAAAAAAAAAAAAATGTACGACTATAATATTAAATTTTATGATTAAAATTAATAGATTTAACAATTAAACTCACATTTGACAATCCTAGTTCTGTTTGTACAACTAAGATGAAAAACTCTGGGACACTTTTTATTTTTACATTTTAATTCAGCATTTCCATGGCCACAAATCATACATGTATCATTTTTGTAATATTTTTTGGACATTAAGCGGCATTTGTTCATTCTATTTTTCTTCAATAGAAAAGTTTTATCTAATGGAATTTCTTGACATTTAGTTGTTATTTTAGCAATATTCGTTTTTTCTTTTGAATCACATTTTTTTTTTTGTACAACAGTTTGCTCAGTTGTCTGTTTTTCAATATCCTTCTAAAACAAAATTGGTTATTTTTACGCATCTTATTAATTAGTTATCTATGATTTTAAACAAAAATAAATCATAATTATTATTAGGCATTAATTATATATATATATATACATAAAATTATTAAATACTTTTTCTGAAAATGTACAGAATGGTCAAATTATTTTTGTCTATTTCATATACCAGTATTAAAAATGTTAAATTTTAATGATATTTTTCATTTTTTGGTAAATCATTTCATATTCTGAGTGGAGCAATGAATGTATTGGTTTCACGATTATGTTTTTATTATATTTTTTTCTATGAATAACTTTTCTATTGGAAATTGTACTCAGATTTTCAAATGTAGTACTTTTTCTGAAAGAAAATCTGACTGGGGTAGTACTTTAAGAAAGTTATTTTTTTATTTTTTCAAGGGCTTTTTTCAATAAATGAGAAAAACTGGGAAAATCTACAAAATTTATTATTTTCAAATAGTAAATATTAAGGCCTTTCAAAATATGTTTAACCGAATTCTGTAAAGAATCTTTTTTCGTTAGTAATGATTAATCTTTGTGTACAGATATATATTGAATTTCTCCTCCACTTTCTCAACTTCTCGTCTACAACATATTCATAGTACAAAGTATGTTCATTGGTTTTTAAAAAACTATAAAAAAACATATACTATAGAGAATATGTGCAACTAACCTAAATTTTAAAAATATGAATTAAATTCATCATAAAAATCAAATTATTTAATTTACAATATACAAGTACAAATATTAATTAATAAATTTAGGGTCGTCATTACAATATTTTCTAAATCTTTTACTATACTTACAAACACATTTAGTGACAAAATTTTAAAATTACCTATAAGTCTTAATTTACTAAGCATTGTTTGTACAATTATCTGTAAACTGTGTTGGTTAGCGCTAAACAGTAAGTCAACAGACAACATTTTGACAGTTTGCAGCAAATCTAATTACTAGTTAATGCTAATGGGACATTGTAAGAACGACCTTAAATCTAACATATTACTATTAGCGGTAGGTTTTTGTTCCACTATCTTATTACGCAATAGCAACATAGAACCCCATACAAAAATATGAATATGGAATTTAATGAATAATAAATTTGAACACATTATCAGTTTAATTTAAAACAGCTAATTTTATTATTAACCAAAGAAAATGTTTATACTGTTTTTTGTTAATTAATGATGCTTAGTGTTAGCAGTACATTGTAATAATAATTAATTATAAACTTGCCGCTAAAGTCACTGTTACGAAAAACTATATGCTAGTTTAACTAAAAGTTAAAATTTAGTGAGATATTGTAACAACGACCATTAAATAACTAGATATGAAATAAAAATAAAAATATAATATAAAAGTTAATATGTTTAATATTACCTATAACAAAATATTTTTGAAAGTGTAGGAGAAATACATTTTTCTGTCATAGAATGTCCAAATACACCCCAAAACTCAAAAAACACTAAATATTTTCAATTTTGATTTAAAATTGATATATAACTTTTATATTTAAGTACTTATCAATACAATACAATCAGTAAAAAATATGCAAATAAATCAGCTTCTTTGTTATCAGTGTTATCACTAATCATTAATTGTAGATAACTAGCTGTATTACACTGATTCGCCCGTGTCGTGTGGCGTTCATCATATTGAACGAAAATAAAATAAAAATATATCTCCCCGACTCCCCCATGGAAACAATTGGTTGTAATAAAATTAAAAACACTTTTATTTTCTGTGGAACATGATTACCAAAAATGAAGAAAAAAAAAAACAAAAAAAAAAAAAGGAAATTTTCTTATTTTAAGGACGAATTTCTTTTTCTTTAATTCTTAATCACTCTTTAAAAGTTAAATTTTCTATTTGAACTACTCTCTAAACGCTTCTGAAACTAATAAAAACTGGTTTGGAATTTTTAACAAAATTGATAGAGTAGCTTTTGAGAACAAGCAAACTAATAGAATTTTATATTTTTTATATATTTTATATATAAAAAAAAAAATTGATTTTTACTCACTTTAGATAAAAATGAATGTCTGCTTTTTGCTAATCTTGTTAAACTATGTCTAGATCTTTCTTGAGTACCTATAGAGTCGTCTGGTTTGATCACACTGGCCTATTCAATAAAAATTAAACAGGTGAACATACAAGCACTCCTTGTACTTATCATATTAATATAATATCAATACATAATCAAAATTATTGAAGAACATGATAATGGTACATAATATTATAATGATTGGGAATTGTTACACATATGCTGGGTTGCATAAATAACATCTCTGTAAACTGTTGCTATGATAATCTATCCATTCAGTAAAATTACAGTTATTGAACAAATTGTGTTTCATGAATGTATTTCATTATTTGAATAAGAATACCTTATCCATGGATATTAGTAAATAATTTTGTTTGTACCAAATATAAAAGTGTTATAACAGTTGAATATATATATATATATATATCAAAAAAACTGAAAATTCAATTTTAAGTCAATATATTTGTATTTTAAGTTTGACTAAGAGTAATAGTTTTTTATAATTTTAAAAGTTTAATTATAATAGTCTCCATACCACTCAATATTTTCAAATTTTAATTAACTGAAATCTGTTAACCAACTAATCGATTCAATAAATCAGTGTTTGATAACATTTACTTAACAGAACAGATAGCTAGTTATTGGTTCTGTACATTTTCATACAACCCGGCAAAAAAAAATTAAAATTAAAATATTGAAAAAGTTATTACTTCGCTTACATTTTTAAATACTTTATGAATTTGTTCAGTCTTTGAAAGATCTTCAGAAGAATTACTCATTGTTTTCATATCTTCAATATTTTCTAGGCCAACATGACTCTGATTATAATCAAAATGGATTAGTAAATATGTTCAAGGGATTTCAAAATACGAGTATTAATAAGTATTAACTTACTTTTTTGTTAGACAAAACCAATGTTGTAGTTGTAGTGGCTACTGTTGGCTCGGTCATATTTTTAAGTAATGGTGATAAATTGGATTCAATTTCATTTTTCTGAAAAATTAAATACATATGTATTTATTTAACACAATAAATATTAAATCTAAAGTAAATAAAACTTTCACGATAAAAAAAAATATCTATAAAAACTATTATTAAATGGAATAACAGTAAATAATTTAAATTAGAAATATATAAAATTAGCTAATTTTGCCTACTTTTTTAAAAATTTTGCGTTGCCACTTTTTTTTTACGATATTTGTGTCATCTGTATCTGATATATTAACCTAAAAATATGAAAATAATTATAAACCTTAAGAATTAAATTACAAAAATATGCTTTCTAAAAATATATTTTCTGAATTTCTACCCTTAATTTGATATGAATTGCATATACCATTTAAAAATAATAACAATGAGCATTCCATTTTATCTTTTTATAACACTGGTTGACATTAATTTGTATATTTGACAAAATATTTTTTATACAGATGACTATTGAATTATATACAATCATAAACTCTAATTTATTTTTATTATTTCTAATATAATCACTAATTAGATTAATAAACAATTCATATTTATTTATAAAAATCTTAATTTCATGTTACAAATCACACAAAATAAAGAATTTATTTTATGCTAATCAAACGATCTAATATTAAAAACCTTATGGTATTTATTAAAAATAATGTTTTAGAACAAATATTTTACATTTAATATATTAAATTAAGGTGAAACATTTTATACACATATTCGAGTATTTCACAATGTAAAAATATTAAAATGATATTTACATTAACTGAACACAAAAAATTATTACCATTTCAATTTAATTATTAATCAAAAACACTTTAAAGAATGAAAATGATTTATCATATAAATAGAATACTTTGTTTAATGTTTTCTTCAGGGAAATTATTAAATTATTAAATTTATTAGCTGTATGCAATATTTTATTATAAGCCCAAAGTGTTAATAATATTATACTAAAGACAATTCTAGTAATAATATATAAAGCACGAAAAATATATTTATGTAAACATAAAACAAATGTGTATACATAACATATAAATACGTACACTCTTGCGCAACTAAATCGACTCGCCTACAAAAGGCATCTTTTTATAAAATGACTTAAACCAATTTTCACAAAAAAAATTTAAAATACCGAAGACAATTTTAAGATAATGGTCTCATTGTAAAGTAAAATCATTAGGCATTCAAAAAAAATTTATTTTGTGATAATTGGTAAATCCATTTTAAAAAAATATCCCTTTTTGTCAATGAGTCGATTTAGTTGCACGCTAGTGTATATTAGCAGATAACTTAAAACTACTTTAAAGGTCTATTTATACAGCAGTGACATTAACGTTCCAGGATTTCACCAGTCGTGATTTCTATTTACACATGGCAGTGACGTAATAGTGCCAAGATTTCTGTTTACACTGGTCAGTGTTAGGTATACTGCATTATAACTACAACTGAGAAAAGTTATAACTTAACTAAAAATCACAGCTATGAAATGATTAAAATATTGTCCGCCAAAAAATCTCACGATCATGATATGATGATCGCACTGCTTGAAATCGTATAGTCACGAGTTGAGCGAGTGTGAACAATTTCATCTATCCTTTAAAAATATTATTAACCTCACTAGGAAAAGCCCAGAACAGCCACAGCACTAGCATGTCACTGCTGTGTTTAAATAAACCTGAACTGTGTCCATCCAAATCATAATTTTTTTCAAAATTAAAATGTTGAAAAATGTATTTAACAGTTGATCAATTTATGATAAATATATAATGAAGTGTTAGTTAATAAACTTATTATAACTTATATAACTTACTACCCCCTCTAATAGATTTAGTTTTATCCAAATATACTATTAAAAAGCAATAATGAGGAAAATTATTTTGATTAAAATTGCATTTATTAAATATGACATTTAAATAACAAATATGACTCAAATGTAATACAAATTAAAAATTATTTTTCATATAGGGTTTACCTTAGAATAATATAGAAAAACTTCACAGTATATAAAAACTTAAATCTCACTATCACTGTTAATTTATTCAATAATTTAAATCACATAATACAACTATGAAACATATAGACCTTGGAAATGTATACAATATTAATGTTACATAATATAAAATTAAAAGTAAAAATCTATGATAACAATTTAAATCATAAAGGCCGCAATAATACATACTAAAAATAATTATAAGAATCAAAGTCTATAAAAATAATAAATAAAAAATAGTAAGTTATGTCTATTATTTTGAAAAATATTTTATTAAAATTGTATATTTAATTTATAATAATCATGGAAAAAAAGAAACAAAAAGTGCAAATAAACACTATTTACACTAGCATATACACATACACAAGTATGTTGGTTTAGCCTTGTGATGAATCCATGTATTACTTTCACTAGGAAACTTTCACTTTTGACACTTTTATTACACCAAGAATTGTAATTGTAATTGTATATTACAAAATTGCATGTCACATATTAATGATGATATCAATTAAATTGTTTTGGAACAAATTTATTAATTTAAATAAATATTAATAACATATATAAAAATTAATAATTTAAACCCACTTTTTAAATTTTACCTTCAGTTTAGTTTACAAAACCCACGAAGAAAATATAGCATATGTCAGATGAACTTACCATACCATTACATACAATTCTTGTGTAGTATAGAAAATAATAAAAACTTAAGATCACCTTATTAGAGAAATAGGACTTTTATAAAAATAGCTGAACTTTTATGTTGACAATAGAAACACATTATATTAAACAAATAACAACACCAAACATGAAAAGAGTATCTGGTGGCATCACATTTCAAGAATACTATTAAACTAATTCTTATTAGAATTTTATTATATATTAAATACAAAAAAAAAATATTCTTGTCTGAAGTATTTTACCGACAAATCTTAAACAATAAACAAAATATTTAATAGATAAAAAAATAAAAAAATACATTTGCAAAAAATTAATAGTAATTATATCAATATTTTATACAATTAAACTATAAAATAAAAATTAAATAATATAATTGATAAGTTACAAGTAAAATTAGAATAATTAAAAAATTGAATAATTTGTCCTTATTTTAAAAAGTTAAAAAAATAAATTAAACTAAAAATGGTAATTAATAAATTACTGTATAGCTATGAAATCACAATTTAGAATAGGTAAATAATTTATTAACAATTTAAAAAATAAGTAAATAACACTATTACATACAAAATACATAATTATAACTTAATTACATTTTATACATAAAAAAAAAAAGAAAAATGCTTTTTAATGAAATTTTGATACTGATTTTAAATATAAAATAATTATTTAAATTGTAATCAGTACAAAATAATATGACTCAATGCAGTCTTATAAGCATTTTAATTTTTAATTAATTAAAGTATTATCTCAACACATGTAATTAGTAAGTTTAAAAACACTATTATTAAAGTAGAGATATCACATATTAACTACTTGAGTTAACTTCCAAGACAATATATTGGAGTCAAAATAGTAAGAAATAATAATTTATCAACTATCAAAATTCTAATAAGTTAAAATTGGAAACAAAATTGTATATGGAAAAATTTGGTTTGTATAAAAAGATTATATATGAAAAAAAAAAAAACTTTGATTTTATTTTTCAAATTGATATTATGTTGACATTATCCTTATTTATTAATTGAAAAAATGAGTAGGACAGTAAAATTAAGGACACTATCTTTCAGAGTTATTGCATATCCTATAATTTTATCCATCTTTTAGTAATTACATATTACTCAATGAATAACCCATAGATAAAAATACGCACAATTGTTATTAAATATTACTTTGAATTTATACGCTTATAATTTATAAATTTTAATAAATTACTTGTATATGTATGATAATTACCTAACATAGATATTTTTATTATCTGTTACCAATATATATTATTTATATAATATATTACTATTTATTATTCTTAGTTTAGCAAGTCAATCAAATTTTAAATTAAATTAAAGATCAATAGACTAATTGAACAATTGTTTTAATGGCATTTTATATTGATACTATGTTTGAAGTATTATAATATGTATTTTCAAAATTGTTACAGCCAGTTTAATTGACACCATTTCATTTATAACCGTTATTAGTTTTTTTTTTCTTAACTAAATACTTTGTCAATGTTTAGGAAAATAAATTATTAAAATATTATTCTAAGTAAAAAATATGGTATGGTTTACAGACCAACTAATTACTAATAACCACCTTTTAAATTATTTAGGTGAATTTGTTCAGTCATTTTCATTTTAAATTAGTTATTCAGTTATTAGTTATTTTAATCAGTTATTAGTACCATAGTTAAATATTAAAAAATTAAGACACTAAAGGAAAGAAAATGACAAAATTATAACTACATTGTAGATTTCTTAATTGTTTTGTGGTTTACATACTTTGGTCATATCGGTGTTGTTCCTACTGGAATTTTTCCATTTCCTAGAGTTCACAGTGCGTTTTTCTGAAGCTTCTAACATTTCATTCTAAAATTTTAAAAAAAATAATTAAATACATTTTTAACAATGTCATTTAATTGAATAAAATTATTTAATATATTTACTTTTAAGGAGGCTGATGAATTACCATTAAATAGTCCAGTTTTTGATTTCTTGGAATCTTCTTTCTCAACGATAGAAGTATCATTCTGTTATAAAATATTTATTTAAAAATATAATAAAAATGTAATAAAAACAAATAAAAATAGATTTACTTTTATCATGTTTTCAACGGTGGAAATGTTTTGATTATTATTTGTCATTTTAGATAGTTTAGACTTGTCTGAATCAGAAATATTATCCTAATAATAAATAATAAAATTAATGAAACATTATAAAAATACCAGAATTGTATAAATTTAAGGATTGGTATTACACAAATATATAAAATTTATAAAAATGTACTTATGTAATGTACTAATATACTAATACTCATACTAATGTAATTAAAATATAATTAAATTAAGTACACAATGTGCATCAATTACCAAAAACATAAAACTAATAATTTGCTAGTCTAACAATAATTATTTTATTCAGAAATAAAAACATCATTTTAATAATAAATATAATAAACATCATTATTTATTAAGAGTTAAGAAAATATTAAATGTATAGATATACACTTAATATTGACATATAAATGTACTTAATTTGGTTTTAAACTTTGTATGATAATTAGAATACCATATACTAGCATTTTATATTCAACATTGTATACTTATGTGTAATAAAATTAAAAATATAGCTATTGAATTGCTGCATATTGTATAATAACAATTATATTATATTATATTATAATAATTATATTATAATTATTATATGCATAGAAGGTTACCTTAATTTTTAATGGTTTACGTTTGTTTTTAGTCGATGATTTACACTTGTCAGTATCATTTATTGAAATTACTTTCTTTTTATCTTCTTCCTATAAATTATATAAAATATTTGTTTTAAATAATCAGCTTATTTTGTAATAATTATTTTTTAATTATTAGACTGGGAAAGTGAAAAATTAATAAATACTAATAATGTAAATTAATTTTGAATAAAAAACAAAATAAAACATAATTGATAATCAGCCAACTAGAAAGTGAAAAAGATCAATCATCTTTAATTAGTGTTTATTTTCTATTAATCTATAACCATAATTAATATCAGAGTTGACATAAATTATATTTAGAATAATTTCTTTAAAAATACATTTAAGTAAGTTTTTAAAATCGACTGGGGCATTAAATATATACAATATACATCCAGATAAAAAATAATTAATTTAATTTTTTGTTATAAAGTATTAAATGGAATAATGAAAAAACCAAAAAAGTAATAATTAATTTTGTATAAACAATATTTATTACGCGGTTTAAAAATACAGTTTGATAAATTTAGTTGTTTTAAACATATCAACTCAGGTAATTAGTATTAGATTTATACTATATACTATAGAGTTCATCATCAAAAATCAATTGTTTAATATAATAATTTGTCAACTCTAAAATGTAATATAACTGAATTTGACAATAATAATATTTACCACTTTAACACCGATAAATCTAGAACATCTAGCAGCTCCACATTGACAAGGTTTTTTCTGAACCCCAGAGCAACTCTGCAAACGATAATCAAAAACCAGTTCTGTACCAGCTGAAATTTCATGTAAAGCAAAAAGTCCAATCCTAGTATCTCCATTCACTGACCATTTCTGTGTTACACAATTTGGTTCACATGAATGATTCATAAATCTATTATAAATATAAATTATATTAATACAGCATTTCTAGTGTTAAATCATAATAAATCTTTACATAATGAACTAATACTAAACTAAATAAATAAAATCATATATCATACTATGCATAAAGTTTAATTGCATTGTGAATATAACTATTTAAATTAGTATTGAAATTCATTTTTCTTACAACATTTAACACAGCTTATTTTTAAAAATCTTTAAGACTAAATAAATAAACACAATAAAAATAAAAAAAAATAAAAAGATAAATGTACCTAACATTAATTAATATAAAATTATTACATCAATTATTAAATATTAAAGTTATATTTCAATTATTCTCAATTATCTATTAAAAACAAAATTCAATACACTTTAACTACTTTGTACTCAATACAAATTATTGTCATATCCACGGAATTCATTAAAATTATTTTTACCTTGATAAATTTCCTCTAGGTCCAGCATCAATCATTCTAGAATTATCAATGGTCAAAAAATAATAATTTTGTTCATTCCGTCTCTGCATTTCAAGACATCTCTTTTGAAATTCATCTTCATCAATAACATCACCAACATACTCAATAACAAATGATCCTAAAATTATAATAACAATCTACCAAATGTATTTTTAAAGTTAATTATACAAATATCAAACCTTCTTTTATATTTTCTAAAGTTTTAAGTCCCCAGCCTTTGTCTTTTGTTAAAAATGGAACCATCGTTGGATACAATCTCTTTTCAAATCGCTGATTATTACACCTGTTACCAGCAGGACATAATTGTGGATGACATTCAAACATAAGCATTCTACAAAAAAATTCAAAATTGAGTATAATATTCAATAATTTAAAAAAGGTAATAAAATACCTATTTATACAATCAGAACCTGGACCACATGGATTTTGCTGATACGGATCACACTCACATGGAGTCATATTACTAGTACCAAGGTCCGTAATTTTTACATTGCCAAAAGGTTTGTTAAATTTGATTCGGATAAATTTGGGAGGCTTCTTTAATGAAAAAAAATAATGATAAACAACTAATCTGGTATTATAAAATTTAATAATATACCTTAAATGATTTTTTAGCTATTACAGCATCATTTTTATCTTTATTTAAAACATAACTATTGTGTGCTTGAGCTGCTTCAATAACGGCATCTTGGAAAACTTGATCTATAGTCTTCATTTTATGTTTTATTAAACTATTCTCATCATCCTGAAAGATGAAATAAATACAAATTTAAGACAATTTAACTCTCATTTTCATTTCGACTATCTATAAATAAATATGAATCATTAAAAAAACTATAAGTATTTTATTCTTAAATAGTGAGGTTTGATAACTACAACATTATTTTAAATATTATTATTAAAATAGTTATTTAAGTTATTCTGGCATTTTGTTAATTATATTCAAATAAAATGACATTGTTTGTTATCCATATTTTAAAAGAAAAATGTTGTAACGACTAGTTCTAAACACTAAATCTATACACATAAATACAATATTGATGCTTAGTTTATATAGTTTGCTACAAACAGTTAATTTATATTGCTTTTATATTATTATTATTTTTTAAATATTATATGATAATTTGTTACCTGCTTAAATTATCTACTATCATTTCATTACCAATACCAGCATTTCTCAAACTGTGGTACGTGATAAACATAGTGGTATGCAGAAGGTCGAGTGGTAATAGTTTGGAAAATTAATTAATACATTTTTGTTAATTATATTATATTATTTTACTGTCTTATGTTATTATCATTTTTAAAATAAATGTATACAAATTATAAATAGTTCAATTTTTAGTCATAAATGAAAACTATTAAACAGATCCATAATACGTGCAAGTGGTAGGCAAAAAAAAGTTGCAAGAATCTCTGGTCTATGCCATATAAATAAATAAATATATACAAATGTGAAATGGTATTTTATTATAACAGGTAATATCCAAACTAGTCATCTAATCGTTTTGCAGATTTTTTAAATGAAAGAGTAAAGTGAGGAGAAGGTTTTAAGTTTAATCTCAATTCTTTGAAGGACCATCCAACTCAACAAATTTTTTTGACTCAAATATATACAATGACAAAAAAAATAAAACCACTCAAATTTGTTTGAAAATCTTCATTCACTAGTTACAATAGTAGTTATAATAACAATTATAATAACTAAACTGTATTCTATTTTTTATTATGTTAATAAAATAATAATTGGTATTTTTAGTTTAATGGTCTTTTATGTTAATTGAATAATTCGGACAGAAATCAAAAATGATTTAAACAAATACTTCATTAATTTATATAAATTTTAATATAAGTGGCCATTTCAAAATTGGAAAGTTTCTCAAAAAAAAAAAAAAAATAATTGTAATATAACATTTGAAAATTAAATGTTTCTTAATTTTTTGAAATAATGAGTGTTTAATTAAAAAGAATCATACTGTTCATATTTTAGTTTACCTATAGCACTAGTGAATAATAAATTACTTATAGTTTTGATGGAGAAAAGTGCTAGGAAAGAAATACTTTACTAGTTCATACTACTATACTATCCTTCATTATTAAAATAATTATTACCCCTTCATGAAAATTAAATACTCGTCCACGGTTCACCCAATAATAATCATGTGTTCCAAAAAATCGTACTGCAAACTCTCCAATAGAATGTGCTATTGCATTAACTGTATCTGGAACTAGATCTGGAAAAATAATTTGTGCCGGCCACCACCTACAAAAATAGTGATAATTTTAGTAACCTCAATTTAAAAAAAAAACATTTTCTTACTATCAATTATACACAAATATTTAATTAAATAAAATAATAAAAATGTTTTTATAGCATTAGAAATAATGCACATATACATAAAAATTAAAGAAAATGTACAATATAAAATGGATTATGGAGAAAACACTTAATATTCAATTGTATGTTAGTTTTTCAATTTAAATTTCAGAAACAAAAAAATGAATCTTGAGTAATATATGAAATAATAGAAATATACAATAGATTATCAACGCTATATTTAATGTTATAAGTTACAAAATGACATAATCATCACATTTTAACAAAACATTGACTATTTATTAATTTTACTTTTATGACTCATTTAAGTTTTTTATGTAAAGTTTAAATTAAAATATTTAAAAAATATACTTTGAGATAAGTCAACAATATCTATTATAAAGTAGAACGCCAGTTTTCCAGATTAATTAATTTCAACGATAGTCTAGATAATCAAATATCTGGATAATTGAAATGAAGAAAATAAGTTATATGTACATTTGTGTATGTTTATATATATGTGTGTGTGTGTGTGTGTGTGTGTGTGTGTGTGTGTGTGTGTATGTGTGTGTGTGTATGTACTTTGTGACAATAAAATAAATAATTATCAGAAAATTAAAATGAAAGGAATATTATCTATGTAGATTAAAACGACTGATTACTAACCTAAAATTATGAGGAATGACAAAATACAATTTAGACCTCGCACTTTTTTTTAAATTTTTTGCTTGATATTTGGGAGCCAATTGGGCCCTGTTGATCAATGCTAAGATAATTGATATTAAATGTATATAAATAAGTATGTTTAAATATTTTTTTCTTGTATAGTAATATTTATTAAGAAAAAATATTAGCTACAAAATTATGATAACCAAATTGCATGGTTTGCATTATCTATGAATTGATATACAATTATATTTTATGAAAATTTGTATGATATACAGTTTCATCAATTTCAAATTTAACATTTAATAGTTTTGATTTTATACTAGAAAAGTAAATATTGTTTGCCTTTTTCTAAGAAATACATTTATATAATAGTTGACTATTGATTGTTAAAGATTGTAAGAGCAGAACACCCTTTCGAAAAGCTCTAAAACAATACCAATATCAAAAATATATTATTGGCCCTAAGTTAACTATTTTATAGAATAGCATTAAACCCATATTTGTACAAATTAATAAAAAAATAAAATAAATTTTAAAAATGTATTGTTGAACTATACCTATAATTTCCTATTTTAACCCAAACAATTTCACCATACAAAGGATATCGTCCAGTTTGACATTCTTCACAAGTAAAACCATTTTCAAATTCTGATGGATTTTGGTTTAAACATTCAATGTGGAAAGAAGATGGACATAAATCACAGCAAACCAATGCACCACCTAAATAAGATATATTGGTGAATCATAGTAACTAAAAGTATTAAAATAATTTAACCATATTATATTTTAATACCCACCTAATGTACAAATGAAACACCAAGTAGCATTATAATGGTAGTTTTGGGTTTTCACAGGTTCAAAATGTCTACTACAAACAATATCAAAGTTTGTTATAACTTGACTTCCAGCTGGTAAACAGTATTCACCTGTATCATTCAAAATATTAATATAAATATAAGTAATAATTAATTTGTTTTTATTATATTACTTCGATGATATGATGTTGGACATTTAATACACCTGATTAGTTTTTCAGCAGGGAAATGTGTTTTACATGCGCTTTTAGGATTGTCAGAAATACATAAATGACAAACATGATGTGGACAAATAACAGTTTGAACATTGTTACGTAAACCTTGATTCCACTGACATTGAGGCCAATCTTCTAGGCATTTTTCATGATAATTTTTTCCACAACTAGCTATAAATAATGATAAAGATAGTTTTAATTTCATAACTTAAGTCATTTTAATGTTTTACACCATTTGAGTTAGTTTTAAAACTAAAAATGAATTAAGATATATTTAAAAACCAAAAAAACATGTTATTTAAGGATTTTAATTTATTCACATTACAATTAATATAAAGTTTAACTAAATAACTTAATTTTAAAAAAAAAAATATTTAAACTAATAATCATGTACAAATGTATATAGAAATATATATTATGATAAACTGATACAACTTTTTACTAATATTCAATTATATTGTGTATGCTACCAATATAAAACCAATACCTAACATCCAATATTTTAAATCAAAAACCATGGATTAATATTGAAATTAACTGATATAATGACTGAAAATAGAATTTTTGTAATACTTTTTTTCATCATATTCCAGACATTACATTTTTCTCTGAAAATATCAGTTTAGAAAAAAATAAACCTATAAAGTATTGACCCACTTAATATATATCTGATAAAATTAAAAGTAAAAATATGAATAAAAACAAAAAAATTATATAAAATATGAACTATTAGAAAAATTAAAAATAAAATTAAAACTTGAATAAAATATGAACTTACTTAATTTACAAACAACTTTTTGTTTGGTATCTTCAATATCCAAACCACATACAAAACAATTTGTTTTATTGGCTGCACATAAACTGCATTTATATTTGGGTTCACTTTTTAATACTAGTTCATTGGTGGATACAACTGGAGTATCAACAACTTTTTCATCAGATATTTCTTTAACTGAATCTTGATTTACATTTTCTAACTCACTAAATTGTTGAATATTATCATTCTCAGAAGGAACAAGTTTAATATTTGAAGATAAATCATTAGATTCAGGTTGAGTGTGTAATTTATCATCTTCATTGGAGGATTCTATATTACTTTCTGTCACAGATACTAAATTGTTATCTTTATTGCCTAATTCACCAGAATTGTTTTCAATAATATTTGGAACATTAGAATTTAAATTCTTAGACTTTTTAAATTTTGAATGTTGTTTTTTAGTCCGTTTGCCAGGAGTTTTTTTTAGTTTTACTAATGGTTCACTTTTAAAATATCTTTCCTCACTTTTATCAAGACATTCTTTATGGAAATAACCTTGACACGGGCCAGTGCATTTAATAGTGTCATCAAAATTTTTACAAACAACACAAGCTCTTTTAAAAATTTTTAAAAATAACTGTCTATTTTTTTTTGATGCAGTGAAAAATGAACTATTATATAAATCATTTTTAGAAGATGCTTCACTTTCTGTTGTGTCAGGTTCTGGACTACTTTCACATTTAACAGTCGTTGATTTTCTAAAAATAAAATTCAAAAATTAACATGAAACATTATCATAGCTTTCAGTTTAAATGTCTACCTTCCAGTTGATACTTTTCCATTAGATCTTTTTGCTACTGCTCTTTTAGAATTATTAGAAGAACTAGAATACAAATTAATAGTTTATTAATGTTTATTTTATATTACTGAATTAATAATACTCATACAATACCTTTGCGAGTAAATTGTTGAACTAGTGCTTTGATCATCATTATTTGAAAAACTTTCTTTTTCTGACTTGAAACTTCTAATTATAAAAAAAATTAATAATAAGTAATAAAAATCAACATACACACAACACACGTTAAAATTATACATTTATGTTATGTAAATGTTACCTTTCAGGAATTTTTTTAGCAAGTCTGCGAGTCGAAATATTTTTTTCAAGATAATCTTCTAACACACTAATGAATAAAACAAAAATAAAATAAAATAAATTGTTATAATTTAGTCAGCATTCTTATACATGCACAATAAATTGTATTATATATTAAAAATGGATTTTATTAAATAAATATGCAATATTATAAAAAAATTGAATAGCACATATTTGTTTAGGTAAGTTATTATATAATTACTACACATTTATATAAATATCATACCTTAATTTTTCTTTTGTTTCAATAGGTAGCAAATTAATAGTAGCCGTAGAAGTTGAAGAACTGGGTCGATTATGACCATCTAATAACGAACTATTTTCATCATTAAAGTCTGGAAAATTCTCTATGGAATCAGATAAATCATATTTATCAACAAGTGAACTTTTGGGTGGATAAGTTTTTGTTGACTTTTTGTTTTTTATATCTGTATCTTCCACAAAACGAATAGAAATATCAGAAACAGTACTATCTGCATCGTCCGATCTTGACAGTAAAGGAATGTCAATTAATCGTGATGATGAACTCCCATCCACAGATATGTTTTCAGTCTTAATTATTTTGGAACTAATATCTTGTTCTGAAACTGTTAGAGATCTTTTCCTTGAATATGTCCGTACTGTAGTAGTCTAAAAATAATAAGAAATAATAGTATTAATTCTGTTTAAAATAATTTAAACAAATGATATAAATCATTTTAACGTACAGTAGAATTGCTTTCAGTAGAATTATTTAAAATGGATGTAGATGAACAATCTAAACTGGAAAATGTTTTGAAAAATTCAATTATTCTTACTTCTCTGAAAAATAAATATATGTATATTATAATTAAATCTGATAAATATAATTTGTATTATAAAGAAAATTTTACATATCAAGCTTTAAAAGAGTATCAGCTTCTTCAACAGCCAAATTCCATGTGTTTAATAATGGCTTCTTGCTATTTAAATATGACTGAAACATTTGCAATGTAAAATAAATTTTTTTTTTTTATTTAAATTATAGACAATTTTGAATTTGATACTCACTAAACAGTGTGGATATTTTAAAACTAAATCGTCTTTTCCAGAATAATTTTCTATAGTTTTTGACCAGCTTCTTCTACCTTTGTCATTACAAAATCGAACATGCAATGAAAATTTATTTTTTTCTACTGAAATAATAATAATAAAAAAAAAACTGTCAATGCACTTAGGATCTTAATGTTCCGTTATCATTATAATAACAAAAATATCCTAATATCCTACTAAAATAATTTGTACGTATAATACTTTATTCAATAATCCTTAAAAAAAAATAATTAGATATGGATTTTATGTTATTGTTTAATTTTAGTATTTATAATATTCATTAGCAAAATATAAGACTAAATTGTTTTTTGTTTTAAAATAAAATAACCCAATTAAAATTAAAACTGAACAATTATTAAACCATATTGGTATTAATGTACTCAAAACTGTCTATCAATTAAATAAAGGTACAATTTTATCTCTGCAAGTTTCATGACTGTGGTTTTGTTTTGACAGTTGACTGCATGCAGTTAAATCAAAATTAATTTATCACTATCTATCAACTATGGAGGATATTACTACTACAGTCATCCAACATCTTGAAGAAGGAGATGAAAAAATTCTTAAACTATTATTTGAAAACAAAAGCGAAAAAAAGTGTACCATATATTTAAGACACGAAAAAGAAACTTTCAACAATTTAATTACATTAATAACAACACAAATAAAAAAGTCAAACATATTCAACAATAATTTCACAAAGTTAAAAATCCTAGGGGAACTAATTTTTCATACGAGGTAGAAATATTTTAGACAGTCGCTGCAGACCACTGGTCTGAACACCAATCAATGCAGTCAACATGCAACACGTATAATCGTCTCATGAACAAAACCAGCTCCATGAGATTATATGGACAACATTATGTGCGACCATCGCAGCAGTCGACTACAGAAACGAAACCATATCCTAAGTTAAATCAAAATTAAACATAAACAGGTTGGTATACTAAATCCAATGGTATCCAATGGGCAACTTTCCTGTTATAATTATTAAAGGTCATATTTGGATGTGAAGAAACAATTTAAAATTATAAGCCTACCTGTTTTTTTTTTCAACAATGAAATAAAAATTTTTAATTTTATAGATTTATGCATAATATACTATGTGGTGGTCTTCATTACAAGTTATTTAATTTGTTATCAATATAATATTAAAACCTAAATAATTTATTTTGATTAAGGTTTTTCACAATAATTGTATTTAACTTTTTTTTAAATTCCATTATTCCCACTAATAATTATATAAGAGAAAATTACTCCCTTATTAGCTTAATTTATATGAATAATATTACACAAATTTTAAAATTCTTATTACTAATTGAAATTATAAACATATTCAAAATCGATTATTTTAATTGATATAGCATAAATAACTTACGAGATCCTTTTAAGTAATTCTTGGATTTTGGATCACTACAGACAATACTAGGCCAATAAGGATATTTTCCTATTTTGGCCCAAACAATATCACCAATCGTATAAGCTCTATGTTGTTTAATACTTGGACTTGGGCATTTGTCTACTATCGGATGTAAAATATCAACTTCCGACTCAAGTGGTTCTTGTTTAAAATTAAGTGTTGATATATATGGTGTCAGTAATTCAGTATTATTACAATTAGATAAAATTCCATTTGAACTAGATATTTCAGTTGACATACAACTGTCACTAAAATCTGGGTTAATTTCCTCAGATACAGGGTTATCGTTTAGATCAGGACTCATTTCATCAGACACTTGAATATTGTTAGGATCAGGACTCATTTCATCAGACACTTGAATATTGTTAAGATCAGGATTCATTTCTGTTAGCGTGTGATCAGGCGTATTTATCGATACTTGAATGTCATCGTCAATGATTGTAGTTTCAACGGAAATATTATTTTGTATTATAAAGTCGGACATTATGTTATCTGCAATAAGAAGAAAACACTTATATTACAAATGCATATCATATTTATATATCACAGTTCAAATTTATTATTAAATCCTTATATAACACAAATTAATGTTCCACAATAAGTAAAAGAATTTTAAAGTTGGTAGTAAGATATTATAGTGTGCTATAATCACCAATACCAATTACGAGTAAAATATTTTAGAAAAACAAGTGTACCTATATTAATGGCAAATTAATGTTATTATAAAGTCGTTCACTACATGGCTGTCTGACCATATTATAGTACTAAACAGAAAGGCGGGAATAATGATTCCAACGAGAAACAATGATTGAAAAACATTACTATGAACAAATAAGTACACAAGTATTTATAATTGTTAATTAGTACCTCAAAAACTCGGCGATGATAATATTTGTCTACATTTTATCGACCGACATAATTTCTTAACACTTTATGCACTTTATATTATAAGTTTATAACCCAACGATCAGTTGAAATCATAGCCCATTGGTAAATTGTAACTACTGTCAAAAATCAAAATATGTTGAAAATTAATAATAAAATCTTTAAATGAAAACAAATTATCTACAGCGAGTTCGGTGAGCAAATTAACACAATAATTTTAAAAGTTGGAAATTCGGAATTTCGGATAACAGTTAACACCAAATCACCAACAGCAGTAAACCACCCCGACAACAACTACTACTACACATACACAAGCCTAGAGACAATATATTACTCCACGTTTGCCCACGCGCAAAACTTAAATTATTCTACACACCAATATCTAAACCAAGCCAACATTCAAGCCATAACTGTTAGCAAGGACTGACTGTTCAGTAGTTTAAGGTTTGGAATATAGATTGCGTGCACGTAGGTACTAAAATTGATATTCGAATATTTATTTAGTATTTATCACCATAGATAGATAATATAAGAATAGATAAGCCATGAGAGTTTATCACAGAAGAATGAACATTTTTATAATTTGAGACACGAATTAAGATATCTTAATTCGTGATTTAAGGTTACATAGAGTTTTATCAATAAAGTTTTAAACTTGATCAAAAAAATCAATAGTTCATAACTCATTTTACTTTTATTTACTATGAATTAAGCTAGTTAAACTTCATTAGTGCTTGATAATCATATATAATCATTATTTATTATGTTTTAATATTTTAACGAAAACTTTCAAATTACATTATAATTAATAATTAATATACCTACATAATACGCTATAGAAAAAAATATATGTATATAAATCACAACTCTAGTTTATGAAAATTTGGTAAAATAATAGTAGGTGTTCAATTGAATTTACCATGTCTGAAATGGATAAGTTTCGTTAATTTAGCTCTGGTACGATTTTCCTTTATATTATATTTAAATTTTAATCGTTCTAATTTCGTGAAAAATACAATAATAATAATAATATCAAATTTTATTGAAATATTTTTTTGAAATTGTTTTAATAAACAAAATTCAAATACAAATACGTTAATTGAGTTCTTATCGTTGTGAAATATAATTAATGACAAAACCCCTTGCCGTGAGAGTGAGAGCAGTATAAGCAGTCTATCTCTCGTTTACATTTCGGAACGCGGCCCCTTATTATATTAATATAGGAGAGTGACGTATTCATTCTTATATTATCTATGGTTCTTAGTTTGTAGCATTAATGGCGGATTCAGAATTTATTTTATTTTTATTTTTTTTTTTTTTTGGAGGGAAGGGAGGCTAAATTATTTACGAGTAACTATTAAAACAATGAAAACTAGTATATTTTTACCACAATACAAGAAAAAATCATATACTAAAATATTCGGAAGCACAAATGTTCACATTTTCTCCTCTAAATCTGCCACAACATGGTATCGACACGCAGTCGAGGAGGAGCTTGGTGGGTTGATCTCCAAAAAAACAGCCGAGATCCAAATCAAGTCCTCATCTAGTAAATTATAACAGTGTTTTTCACTTAACTACACTCGTATACACTGCGAGCAGTCGGTGATATTATACTTAACAAGTATAACTGGTATTATAAATATATTATAAACGATAAGCATATTATTATAATAACTTATATATATGGAATGAAACATATTGTATTCACAGATATAGATAATAAAAAGATTTCTATCTAGTAATAAGTCATGAAATTATTTTGAGTTGAACCAGGCTTAGATCAAATGGATTAAAAATAGCGACTACTAAACATAGAATATATAGGTAGATATGGTTGAGTAAATTTAGCATTGAGCATTAGTTTATTATCTATACCTGTGTTAAAACACGATTATCCTGTTGCTGTTTATAGTGTAATAATAATTTGTATTATTTGATATTATATTATTTATATATATATATATACAACTATACCTGTGTAATCCTTTGGTTCAAACTCTTTTTCTCGAATGTATAAATGCATGCATTCTGTGGTGTAAGAAACAGTGGCACATGGCAAAGTAAATACGTACGTTGCTAACTTTGTGATACGCTATGACTATACACGCCAGGCCGTTACACCACTCTTCACCCAGCCGAAGTCGTAGTTCTCGGCTTCTGATTGGCGAAACCAGAAACAATATGATTCGGCTGTTTTACGATTCAGTAGATAATACAATCTTAAATCGTGGTTAAAATACATTATCCATCTAATAATTCTAATGTTTATGTCGGTTAAATTAATTATTTCTATTGAAATACCGAACCGCTACAATAAGGCTACAATACGGGTCGTCTAACACCTTTTTCGGTTGAAAAATGATTTTTAAGTGTATATTACAAATGTGTAAAAAAAGTCGAACGATAATATATACGATTAATTTGTAATATTTATTATTTATAACATTATATTATTATTTTTATTATAAACAAGTTTTCTTTTTAAGCAGTATGCGCGTAATGTCACATTGTCAACAACCAATGAAATGCCGATAACTATATAAGAACATATAAAGTAGTGGGGATGCGCACTGCTGAATGCTGATCAATATAAAAATTTTGATATACCTATTTTTTTCGTCTTAAATGGCATAATTAAAGATGAGAAAAGGCATTGATGCAGTTAAAAAACTAGGCCCTCTAAATAATATAATCTTTATGAAAATTCGAAATATAATCTTTACGTAGGTAACACTGTTTTTTTCAAGTGTGAATACTTATGGAATTACAAATAGGTACCATAAACGCATTTAATAGATCATCATCACGAATTTAAATTAATTAGAAAACAATAAATTATTAAACGAAATAGGTAGGTAAGTCAAATAATAAAATGATTTTGTTAACTTCGCGAAAAAAACCTTTTTTAAATATTTCAATTTTATCTATATCTGTGATGAATTGTATTATCAATATTATGACATGATAAGATACAAATGACCTACTAGTAGTCTAAAAAAAAAAACTACAAAAATTATAACCAAACTCTTTTTTGTTCAAATTTGAGACACGTGTTTGCCTAGTAGTAATCGTTCCTTACATCATATCTTTGAATTTTGTTATCAGCCAAACCGTCACTTGTATTCCCTATGAATTATCTAAAATATATCACAGATATAAATAATGAAGTAAATAGTAGATTGCTTACGGCTGTATGTATACTACTGTATTATAACTTGGATTACTATAAAAATTAGTGTAACCGTCATTTGTATGATTTTTAGATTGATTTTCAGGTAATTTTTTTAAAAATTGGACAATACCGAAATAGAACGTGGAAATAATAGACAAATTGAATGAAATTAATTATATTATTGTATTAAATTTTGGTTTTTCGTTGAAATAAAGTGAAAATATACCTAGAAACTAAAAATTTTGATGAACAAAAATTTATAATGTTCGGAAAAAAATAGACATTACCCGGGTTTATAAGAAAAATACAGCAATAATTAAAAATTTGTATGCAAAATCCAAATAAATAACAAAAATTTGGTTTTTATTTTCGTGGTTTTTTTCCGTGTTTTTTTTTTTTTGGTTTTTTTGTCGTGGCTTTTTTTCCAGAATCTGACCTACTATACTCTATTTAGAATAAGAACCACGGTTTAAAATCGTTGTAAGTCTATCTTAAACCGTGATAAGAACAGTCTGTTTTGATGCATCTTAACCGAGCTTTTAGCACTGCCTGACCACCTCGTGGTGGATTCGTTAATTATTCGGCAATTACAATAATTATGGTGTTATAGTTGTTAGGTAATTTGAAAATAAATCTCCAGAAAAAAATCCTTGCAAATAAATCCTTAAAACAACTATACTATCAATAATAATAATATTTAAAAAAGTTTACAGACATGCCTACTTAAATTTAATTTATACATATATGTATAAATTATCATCTAATCATTGTCATACGTATGGTTTTTTAGTTTATAGATTACAAACTTTATTTAATATAACTATGCTATTTACTCTCTCAAAAGAACCCCGCATAACTAATTTTAGTTGCCAAATATCTAAAATCAATTGTTTAGAGCAATAAATTGTGGAATTAGAAAAATTACATTAGGTCGATAAAAATTATTTAGACACACATATTTGGTATCTACACGTTATTATATAAGTATTACGGTTAGTGCTTCTTCAGTTCCTGTTAAGTAATTTCTCTGCGACTGTGCAACTATACACATAATTAAATCCACACTAAGAATAAATAAATATGTTTTATTGGTTATACCTACATACGATATTATATATTTTTTTAAATTATTAATTATTATTATTTTTAACAGCTGTATGCACAATATACACTCAAAACCATTGATGATTAAATTTTATTAAACTTTTTTTTACACATATAATTTTGACAGTAAGTGGCTTTGGGGATTTATTTGCAGGGATTTTTTTTCGAGATTCCATTGTTATCATATATTTGAAAAATATATTTTAAGGTTAACAAAAATAAGCTCAATACAATGTATCTCATTCACATATAAATCTAACCTCCAGAATTAATTATGTCTATTATGTCTTATTATGTTGTTATCTATATTCTTATTGATAATAATATTATTCGTACTAATAACCTCAAAATGTATATTATGACTATTGTTCCTTTGTTAAATATAAAAACTACTTTTGCAGAATCATGTATGGTTGTCATGTGTCTTTGTGACTTTTTCTCTCAGTTAATTTATGTGTACTATAGTTATCCTACAATAGGTTATGGGCCCAGGCATAGCCAAAAAAGGTGATGACAAGTACGGAGTTACACAATTTAAGGGTACGAATTTCCCAAACTAGAAATTTCATGAAGAATTTGGTGTGAAGCAATGTGTTTCAGAAAACTGTCCATCGCTTGCGAAAGAAGAAGACAAAGAAAAATGGCGTAAAAACGACAATAAATGTAAGTCACTTATAGTTAAATGTATTGCTGTTAGTTATTTAGAATATGTGATGGGAAAGAATACATCAAAAGAAATTTGGAATTCACTATTAAAAACTTTTGAGCGAAAAAGGGTCGCCAGTCTATTGTATTTGAAAAAGCGATTATTGACTATAAAATGTAGTGGTAAAATAAATTTAGAAAGTCATTTTGTGAAATTTTATGAGATAATATGACAACTCAGATCTGCAAGAGCTAAACTAGAGAACGAGGATATTGTTTGTCATCTACTACTTACTATGCCTGAAATGTACAACAATGTAGTTACAGCATTAGAAACTCTTACAGAATATTATACGAATTCATTTTTACTCTAGACAATACTCGAGATAATAGCATTAATGTCAACAGCTATGTCAAGGCAAATATTGACGGAGTATTATGACATAAACGAATGGAACATCCAAATAGAGATTATTTGAATAAACTGAAGAATATTGTTTTTGGAGTTCAATTCAATACAAAAGAACTACCTACAATTTGTTAAGTTTGTATGGAGAGCAAATAGACTAGACAGCCCTTCATTCTAAGAAAAAATAGAACAACGCGTCTACTAGAACTGATACACAGTGATATATGTGGACAATCAGTCCAATATCCTGGAACGGTATGAAATACATCTTTAACATTTATTGATGATTATACACGATTTAATGTAATTTATTTGCTTGACAATAAAAGTGAAGTACTTAACTAATTTTTAGAAATATGAAGCAATTGTAAGTGTACATTTTAGACAAAGAATTCAATCATTAAGATGTGATAATGGAGACAAATACACATCTCACAATTTCAAGAATTTATGTGCACAAAAGGGAATTGTTGAGAACCACACTGCTCCATACACTCCTAAGCAGAATGGTTTAGCTGAAAGAACTAATCGTACAATTATAGAAAAGACCCGATTGTTACTATTTCAATCAGGGTTATTAACGAAGACCTAGTAAGAGTACAGAAATATTTCAAATCTTGGTTCCTCGTCCTTAATCCAAATAAAACCATATCCATGTTGTTCCATTTGAACAACAGAGATGCTAACAGAATACTTAACCTGATAGTTTAGGGAACCAAACTAATGAGTGATGACGTTGCAAAATATCTAGGGATCAAGTTGGACAGAACAATAATCTACAACCAACATCTTGAAGATGTGGAGAACAAACTGAAAACCAGGAATAATATTATTAGTAAACTAGCGGGAACAAGTTGGGGCTGCCGAGCAAATGTACTCCGCATATCGACTCTGGCCTTGGTATACAGCGTCGTAGAGTATTTCGCCCCCATCGGGGAGAAAAGTGTACACGCAAAAAAAGTTTGACACTCAGCTGAATAATACTATGGGAATCATTACAGGCTGTGTCCAGGCTACCAACTTACAGTGGCTTCCAGTCCTTTCGAGTATATATAGCGCCCCTCCCCGGTGGCTCGAAGACATCTCGCAACCATTAAATTGTTACAGAAAATCAATAGATCAGTGAGTCTCCCTGTATACAACAAAATAAATAATGCAACCACTAAAAGATTAAGATCAAGACACCCAATCTGGTCAGTAGAAAATAGCTCAAAATGGAGGATATGTAAAAACAATACTGGGAAGAAGGTAACGCAAAATACGGATACCTGATAAGTGACCCTATCCAAGAGCCAAATGGACCAACTTAAACAGGATACGAATGGAGCAGGATAATTGTAACTACCTCCTACATAAATGGAAAATAAAAAAACTCCCCTTTGTGACTGCGGACAAATACAAACCATCCGACATCTGTGGAGGAATGTCCTCAAATGAGATACAAGGGAGGAATTGAGGATTACATAACAAAGAAAAATATATTGTTGATCCAATCATAGATAGATTTAAATGATAATGTTAAATGGAATTTGATATGGGAGCATCAGTGTCATCTATGTCAATACATAATTTCAAAAAAATATTTTCTAAAAAAAAATTTAAGAAAGTAAACAACAAGTATCCATAAGAACAAATACAGGTGAACTAATTAACTTAATAGGAACATATAGTATAGTATAATATAGTACCATTGAGTTCAAACAAAAAACAGCAAGCGATAAATTATTTGTATTAGCATGTTTGGATCTTGTTAACTACTATTACAATTCATAACAAATTTGGCGTCAAAACTTCACCATTTGTGTCAACTTTAAAAACAAAGGTAATTTATACTTTTGGTCTAAAGAATGTGAGGAACAGAAAGCATTCACAAATATTAAAAAAGAAATAACTAGTGATCAAGTGTTAATGGCATTTAATTCACAGTATCCATTAGTGCTAGAAACAGATGCATCCCTCTATGGATTATCAGTAATATTATCTCATTACCAAATGCATTGGAACGTCCAATAGCATTCGCATCAAGGACTATCAAATTCAAAAAAAAGTTATAGTCACATTATAAAAGAAGTAACAGCAACTTATCGGAGTCTAATCAAATGTTTTCTTTATTGTTATGGCCGGTCCTTCACCCTAACTACTGATAACAAACCATTAACATTAATATTGAATCCAACTAAGAATCTTCCATAACTAATACCAACTCGTCTACTACACTACGCTCAATTTTTATCAAGATTTAATTATAAAATTAAATACCCTTACTAACATAATCTTACTTATCAAGATGTCCTGTAGGTCAAATTGTTCCAGTGGATACCTTGAGTGATGCCTCTAAACTACAGATACAATTAGAATCATTACCGGTTGACAGTGAACAAATTAAAAGGGGAACTAAATAACCTCAATTAAATAAAGTCTACAACATTTTACTAAATAATAGTACACTGCAAGAGAACAATTTCAAAGATGAAGTATTGACAATAGAATATAACTGCTTGTTTAGAGAACCCAGAGTAGTTATACCAGTATCATTAAGAAAACTAATCCTTGAAGAACTTCATACGGCACTTACAAATACAACAAAAATGAAGGAATTGGCAAGACGTTACAGTTGGTGGCCTACTATAAATTTAGAAATAGAAGACTATGTTAAATCCTATCAACAATGTGCTGAAAATCAAAAAAATCAAACAAAATTTGCAATGTCTTGGAAAGAAGAACCAATTCCTTGGTATAGACTATATGTAGACCATGCTGGGCTATTTATGGGATCTTATTTTTTAATTTTGATTGACACTTATAGCAAGGGGCTAGAAGTTAAGATTGTACCATCATTATCAAGTAAAACAACAATTGAAAACCTTCAAAAAATATTTTCAAGATTTGGTTTATCTATTATTATGGTTCGTAACAATGGTAAAGCATGTACGTCAAATTAATTTAAACATCTTATGGAATCAAATGGAATTCAACATAAGTTCTCAGCACCAACTCATTTATCTACAAATAGTCAAGTTGAGAGATACAAAGAAAAAAAAAAAAACTATAGGCAATGACAGAAAAACCAGATGACCTTCATACTAAACTATGCCAATTTCTCACGTAAAATTATTAAATTATCAACATGGCTACAGGTTAAAGTCCATCAGAGATTCTACTTAAAAGAAGTCTGTGCACACAGATTGATCTCATTAAGAATAAACTGAAAAAGACAGTTCAAGTGATTGGCAAGCTGAGACAGTTCAAAGAAGGGGATCCGGTACAAGTAAAATCATATACACAATGAAATGAAAAATGGATTGTTAGAATTGTTTATGAGAACATGACAATATGCCATTACGTTATAAATTTAGTGGACCAGTTATGGAAATGACATATGAATCAATTAAGGGCAACCTTAGTGAGTACCGAAGGAAAGCAACAGAAACCATCATTACAAAGAAATATCATTGAAGGGGATCAACATCATGAATAATCAGTGGTGTCTGAAGAACCAACAGAAGACAAGGAAACAAGCCTGGTACCAACTGAAATGGAAAAAGAACCATCACAGGAGCCAAAGTTGAAACGTTCAACAAGAACGAGGAAAGCGCCATGTAGATTTGATTTGTAATTGTTATTATGCAGGTGAAGATTGTTATAGTTGTTATCATATATTTAAAACTACATTTTTAAGGTTAGCAAAAATAATCACAATACAATGAGAATCTAACCATCAATTAATTATGACTATGTCTATTATATTTTAAGTATTTTATGAAATAAATTAGTGTTCATAATATACAAATATAGAATATATAGCTTCAAACATTTATAAACTTTTATAAAAATATAGTATAGGGAATCTAGCAATCTAGTTTATTATCTGTATCTGTAATTACTCTGTTGTATAATATTATACTTAGACATAGTATAATAGATTATATTATATTAAGTCTATGGAATATGGTATTCTCAAATATAGATTATAAACTAGATTACTAACTAGTGTAAATTCACAAGCAGGTCAAGCGATGTCGCTTTTCCGTCATGTTGGTTGAGGGCTATAATATTTTATCAATTTTTATCATTGTGATCATACACAGATACATTTTATCATAATTCATGAATTCAGAAATATTTTCAATAATAACTAATGTAATTATTTATATTTTATATAATAGTTTATTTTAATTACACATCAAAAACAATTTGTTACATAAGTATCTAAGTATGTCAAAAAGCCAAAAACATTAAAAGAACTAATTTTACTGCTATAAACAAGGTTTTGACTACAAGTTTTTAAACAAAATTGTTTTATGTAACTTTTGTCTTTTGTTAATAAAAGTTTTCAAAATAGAAGAACTTAGAATTTGGCTGTAAAAGTATTGCACAAAATCATTGTTAGTGAAAGGAATATTAAATATCCTGTTATATGTTGGAATAAAATTTTATCTTTTTATTGCAGATATTCATTTTTATATACAATCATTTTGATTATTAAATTTATTAAATTTAGCTGTATAGTTTATTTTTCATTAATATATATGTTTTTATGTATATACTATATAGGTTATAATTTTGTTTATTTATATCTGAGATCTGTGGTAATATTTACGATTTGATTTGAAATACCCTCCCCCCGCTAAATGATAGATTAGGTATCACGTAGTTATGATAACACTACAGAGCCTACAACCAATATGGATTTTTTTCGGCATCTGCTGTTATCACTAGTTAGCAATCTAGTTTATTATCTATATCTTTTTGGCGTGTTACACTAAGACACGAGGTTTATGATAAGGTAAAAAGTACCGTTTATTTACAACATCAAAACATAATACAAGTGTTCGCCAGCTGACGGCTTTTGACGGAAGTAAGGGCGAGCACGCAACAATTAAAACAACATTAATTAAGAAAAACAATTATATATAATGATTGATCGGAGTCGGAAACAATGCTTCGCGTACGGCGTCGGTGAGGAAATAGCGAGCGGAGCGGTCGAGCAGTCGAGTAGCGGAGCAGTGTGCAAAAACCATTAAACACCGACGGCGAGGGGCGTGGCCGACGTCCGCCACGAGCGACGCGCAGCGGGAAGAAAAAAATGTGAGTCCTCTCGGAGAATGACAACGTTGTGGTTCGCCACATCTTTAATGGTATTATAATAATATATATTGTTAATTTGATAACAGATATCAAACTAAAGTTTAAATCTCGATTATTGGTAACACATTTTTTTGTAGACGAATGAAGATGTTTTTGTAACCGTGATATAGATTAAATCTCGCCCACCACGGACTAAAATATTGGTGCATGGCACTTGTTTGAAAATTATAAGAACCATTTTCGGAAACCGATCCTATCGCACATTAACATATTACACACAGTGCATTCAAAATGAAATACTGTCCGATGTGGTTCCTTTATTCGCTACGTCTGGAGCCTGGAAAGGCTCCAGAAAAGCAATATTACAATTAAATATAGACATATAGTATTAGTAGTATTTAGTATTAAAATGTTATACATTTAAAATATATAGAAACTACGCATTTGATCCGTTATTATTTATCCTTATCATTATTTGTCTTTATCATTTTAGAACAACTACCCTCTGGCCTCTACTCTTTAAAATATACAGGACTGAAAACGGCACTAATAACGTGGTTAAAAAATCAAACGCATAATGCGGGATACGGGGATACTTAATTACTTTATGAGCCCTAGTGCCGTTTTAACAGATTATTTTGTAACTAGACATTTCACTTCATCGTTGGTAGTTGACTATTTCCAAAAAATCCGCTAAAATGGCACTGGAGCTTAAAAAGAAAAAAAATAACCCGCGTATCCTTGTTACTGTAGTTGATTTTTGTAAACAATCTGACAGTCTTCAACGTTCGTCCTCCCGTTTATTTTAAGTTTTGTAAAATTTTAATCCATGAATATTATACCCAAAATAGTTATCAAAATCAAAATATATAATCTATACCGATTCACGTTTCGACCCCGGATGTCAGATTTGTATAAGTATCCCATCGTTACAAGAAATCCCATCATGTACAAGAAAATAATATGTATAGTTCACAAATTTAGATAAGATAAAGAGAACTTACAAGTTCTTAAAGTTCGGTCCAGGGCCCATTGAACCCTTCACATGATCTTGACAGTTAACAAAAATACAAATAATAATAATAATATTGAGATATTTAATATAATATATTTTACTTAAATTAGCATACACAGTAATTGATCGTTCAGACCGTTGCAGTGTATGTATGACGTCTGTATGATTCTTTGCTAGGCACGTTATATAAACACAAAATAAAAGAAAAACGCTTATCAAATCAGAGACCGGCATGTAAACTTTCTTGATGTTTAAATTTTAATCTAAAGAATAGAGTGTCTTCCATTATGTACTACACATTGTACCTCAAGTATCTTATGTATCTACTTAACTAAAAACATCAATATTCAACACCCATCCTTCCACTCACCCTTTTTTTCAAGACGCAGTTGCGTCAATTTAACCCCGTTCACGCCGCGACTGTATATATAACATAATTATACTTGACGTATATCTTATCTTATCCCTCCATTCGTTAACATTATTATCGCGTCGATGAAATGTCGTAATTTTGAGACGTATTTAATTAATGTAAAAATAAAATAAGATGTGTTTAATTAATTTAAAAAAATACAATTTCAACTTCTAAATAACCGACACCTCTGAATAGTGGACAAAATGTCAGCGATCCGAGAGTGTCCGGTATTTATATGTTTCACTGTACATGGATTCGGCTTTTCGTTGTGATATACGTAAATATATTTTGCTTCTATGGTATTTCTACCGTCATCACCATATAATCCCATTGTCCAACAATTTAGTGTTCCGACATTTTATCTTTCAATAAAATTATTTTTCATTACAATTATTTTCAAACATTTTATACTTCTGTAGTTCTGTCTCAATATTATCAAAATCATTGGAATTCCAATATTTTATTAAATAACTTTCCGTTCGTTTATTTTTGTCGTTAATTAATTTCAGTTGTTTTATATTTGATATTTCCATCAGATTAGGTTTATCTGAATTTAGTTTTAGTGACATTAGATTCCAATACAGTTATTTTTAGCATATATTTTATTTTTCCCAAAATTATTATTAATTATTATTAGCTGTCCCGTTACAATGAAAAAAATATCATAATATCATAATATTCAGAAGTACAAAGATTAATAAACATAATATTATTATTTAGGAATTAGTAGACTGGTATTTTTAGATTTAAATAATTTGATAGTTATAGTAAATAAATATGTAAATTAAAAATGTATATATAAAAAAAAAAAAATAAATGAATAAAGGTGTCGCCTGAAGTATTATAAGTGATAATATGATATTATACTATAAGATATGATATGATATGATATTAAACGACCGGTTTCGAATAAAAAATTCATTATCAGGGATATCACAGTCAAAATGTAAAACGCGACTGATTATAAAAAATTAAATAAAGGAATACGTAAAAAAAAATTGACACAAATTGATCGTTTTACATAGAACTAATATATTTTAATAAGAGAGATTAATAATTAATAAGAAATAGTAATATTAGAATAATAAATTATGTTCGATATTAAAATTCTACCACGTCTAGAAAAAGCAAATATAAGTTGTCTGTCTAAATTTTAAGTATCTACGAATATTTTTAACTGAATTGCAATAAATAGCAAAATCGATTAAATAATAAAAGCATAATTTCGTTCATTTCTCGTTTTTCTTAAGTTTTATCTTGGTTTTTCCTAGATATTATGAAAACCACTTGGAAAATCAAAAAATGACCTCCCAAAAGTATCATCTGGACAACATTCCCTTTCAAAAATGGTGCCGCGCGTATATATCGGAGAAAGATTTCTGATAGAATCATTTTACACAAAAAAAAAAATAAAAAGAGAAAAA